ACCCCGTTTTCCAACAACTCCATCCCTGGAGAACCTCACTTCCGGTTCGCCTTCTCGGGACCAGCGCGTCTGAACCCCTCGAGAGAACACTGATCTTCCTCAAGTGAGTAACACCACAGTTTCGTCGTTCGTTCTTAAACGATTATTGTGAAAAGTTGCTGTCACGCACGATCGATCACATTCTGGATACGGTTTCTTAGGGATAAAGTGAAGGTGGTGTTCGTTGGTGAACGGAAGTTGGACCGAGAGGATTTGTGACGAAAAGTGGATTGTGTCCAGGTTTTTTCTGTAGAGCTGTGCTTCTTCTTTTGTTACAACGGATCTCTTTTTGGGTTCGTTTTAGTTTTTTGAAGCTTGAATTGAAGAATGTGAAGTTTGGGGATGTGCGAGTGGTAGATTCGAAGAAGACGACTGGTGTGAGTAAGTCGAGGGTTGTAGGGAGACCAAGAAAACTGAGATAGCTTGACTTTCCATTTTCTCATAGTGAATCTACTATTTTTACTCGAAACTTAGTAATTAGAAGCACTGGACAATTTTTTACGGTGTGCTTTGTTTATGAATTTTTGTTAGATTTAATCGTTCCTTTGGAAATGAGTTCGCTGTACTAATTCCGTGGTTTTGTAGCATTGTGTAAGTTTGTTCGTGAAATTTTTGCAATTTTGTTATCGGTGTAGAGATGATTTGGTTGGAAAATGACCGGTGGTTTGGTGAAAATTTATTCGTAAAGTTGATTCGGAGAGAAGGTTGGAGAGTTCGCGTTGCGAAAACTATCTGTTACCATGGTAATTGAGGATAATCGCAGGGGGAATTGTATAATCAGCGAAGCAACAATTTCTTCAATTTGCTTGTACAATGCAAGTGCACGGCGAGGAGGACAGGACGCTTAAGAAAAATTGCCACTGGTACCGTGACGCGTGTTTATCGTGAACGGTGCACGATGTGCAAATAATGTTAAAAAATTTCTGTGCCCGTGTTCGCTAACGACGGAGATAACGAGCTTCTGTGTTCCACGAAAAAACTGTGGTTCTGTGTAAACGAAAAATATGATAACGTGTCACTTGAGGAATGAAAAACAGAAGTTCCAGTTGTGAAATGGTTAGGTATTCGTATCTGAAGATTTTCAAATTTGCCAGTTACTAAATCTTCAGGTATTGAAATTTCTCAATCACCCCATATTCAAATTTGCATATATCTAAATCCCTAAATATTCAAATTTCTAAATCTGTCAATATTGAAATTTGCAAATTTCTAAATCCCCAAATATTCAAATTCACAAATTTCTAAATCTCCAAAGATTCAAATTTCTAAATCTCCAAATATTAAAATTCCCAAATTTCTAAATCTCCAAATATTCAAATTTCTAAATCTCCAAATATTCAAATTCCCAAATTTCTAAATTTTCAAAGATTCAAATTTCCAAATTTCTAAATCTCCAAATTCCTAAATCTCCAAATATTCAAATTCCCAAATTTCTAAATCTCCAAATATTCAAATTCCCAAATTTCTAAATCTCCAAAGATTCAAATTTCCAAATTTCTAAATCTCCAAATTCCTAAATCTCCAAATATTAAAATTCCCAAATTTCTAAATCTCCAAATATTCAAATTCCCAAATTTCTAAATCTCCAAATTCTCAAATACTCAAATTTCCTCTTCTTCGATCGCTCCTTTACACCACATAAAAAAAAAAAAAAAAAAAAAACAGAAAAAAAATTCTCTTTTCCTCCATCTCCAATTTTATATTTATCCCCATTGTCAGCGGACATGAAAAGGAAACGAAAGTCTTGCAAAAGCGAGTAACTCGTATTACTGAAATCGAGACAGCTTCCCTGTATCTTGGAATCCTCTCAGTATTCAAATACGTATCATCTTCAACATTTTCACCAAACTATCTGTCTTTTTACAAACTCACAGAGACAGACTGTGCCCCTGTGTCGTTTATCTACAGCAAAAGCCTGATCTCTCGTCTTTTTCATCTCGGTTGCCGGAGGAATCTTGAAATTTTTCCTCCTTATCGACCCAGCCGAGCCGACTATCGAACGTCCACCGAAGAAAAGAGTTGCGAGAACTATGTGAACTTTGATAACTTGGCGAGATCGAGACGACATAAAGATATATTTACGTATTCGGAATTTTTTCAGAACACCATTTCGTAACACGTCTCGTCTACACAAGCCTGTTTACTACGCACATCTCTTCTTACATTAGTCACCATTTTATTCGCCGCATCCACTCTCTTTTCTTCACTTCGTCCTACTCATCTCGGAATGTTTTTCACATATTAACCCTCGAGTTGTGAGTTTTCTTGCTAATTATGTATTTAACGGTCAGCTATTTACTACTTTAGTACCTTATTAAGCAAGAAAATCTCTCTTGGTAATCTCTAACCTCAAATTAAAACGAAAGTTAAGATAAAAATGAATTTTTCTCAATAATATAACTATTTTAACGTATCTTAATCAAAATCTGGGTTTGACTCGTTATTATATATTTCAAAAATTGAAGATTTTTTACCGTATCAAGTAAGAAAACTACACTCAGCCATCTTGAATCTCCGATTAAAACGAAAGTTGGAATAAAAATTAATATTTCTTGCTAACCTACCTATTTCTATCTCATCGTAACCAGAATCTGAGTATGACTCCTTGTTGCATATCTTAAAAATTGACGATTTTCTATTTCACTTATAAACAATTTCACAACTCTCGAAATCTCCATTTTTATCCTCCATTGTTGTTACTCGTTTCGATCTCACGAAGAGAAATGGAAGAAAACATCGACCAGGCAAGCGAGATAAACAAAATCTAGAGACACCGAGGAAGGAATAGAAGCAGAAAGATCGAGACTCGCGGAGACCGAGTCGAAGAGTGTCGGATGGACCACGAAAAATCGTAGACAAGTGGCAGAAGGATGCTCGCGGCGGCGTACGTGAAAAGTAAAAGGAGGCCAGGCTCGCATTCGCGACTCTGAACCGTGAAAATGCGTGTGTATAAAGTGCGCAGTAGAGTGGCTGACCGATGTAGGCGTGCGTTATGATCCTACGTTTATCGTAGTTCGCTGGGGATCTTCGTTTAGCTCTTGCAAAATGCCGGCCAGAAAAAGATCGTCCTATTTCTTCGGAAATGTAACGAAGGAAATGCGATAAAAATGGAATTTTCACTTTTTAAGAAGCTCCGATTGTATGCGACGAAAAGTATGATTGATGGATTGAAAATTGGGGAAAATTGTGCGTGAAAATTTGGTATATTTTCTTTTTCGTAAGCTTGAAGGCTGAAGTGTTGCTTTCAGTGACCGTGACTGATTCTTCCTGTTTCCTCGCGAAATACGAAACAGAATTACTCCATTTCTTCAGAAATATGAAAAAAATGGAATTTTAATTTCTCGAAAATCTTCCATTTCTTGCGATAAAAATCAGAAGCGATGGATTATTAGTGTTTCCCTTTTTATAAATTCGAGGATTAAGGGTTTAAAGGTAAAATTACCCCTTTTCTTCAGAAATATGAAAAAAATGGAATTCTAATTTCTCAAAAATCTATTTTTTGCGATAAAAATCAGAAGCGATGGATTATTAGTGTTTCCTTTTTTATAAATTCGAGGATTAAGGGTTTAAAGGTAAAATTACCCCTTTTCTTCAGAAATATGAAAAAAATGGAATTCTAATTTCTCGAAAATCTATTTTTTGCGATAAAAATCAAAAGCGATGGATTATTAGTGTTTCCTTTTTTATAAATTCAAGGGTTAAGGGTTTAAAGGTAAAATTACCCCCTTTCTTCAGAAATATGAAAAAACTGGAATTCTAATTTCTCAAAAATCTTCCATTTCTTGCGATAAAAACTACGATCGACGTATGAAAAATTCGCAGCAACGATACGTGATGATTATTAGTATTTTCTTTTTTGCAAGTTCGAAGGCTGGAGCGTTGTTACTCACAGTGACCGCGATCGCGCGTGTTTCTTTTCCCTCCCGTTTCCTCGGTGAACGCGGAAAACGATTACGAAAGAGGTGACACGCGACGCGTATCGATATTCCACGGGCAACTCTGCACCTGACTTGGAGGCCATCGCGGATGCTGTACAAATAAAGCTGCGCGATAAAGTTCGAGAGAATCGGAAATTCTGATGACGAGTTTCTCTGGACGCCACAAGTCACGTCTTTTCACGTCGGCGTCGTAGAACGTTCGAATAAACCTTCCTGCCGTTGTCTAAGATCTTCCAATTCGACTCTTCTGTAATTGCACCGTTCGTTTCATTCATGTAACCCTTTCACTGCTGTCGGCGCCTACTGGCGTTCGGAAAATTTCGGAGAAGACAGTGTTCTTTGGGTTTATTTTAATCGTATTCTGCTGTTTTGACGTACTTCTTTTGGTTTTTTCAACATTTCCATCTTAACCCTGTCACGACGGCGGAACCAGGCGTCGGTACGCCACTAACGTCGTGCCATTAGTGCACACCATGAGTGTCCCTCGCGTTTTTGGAGCTCCCGGTGTGTCCGCGTAAATCTTACGAGGGACATCACCCAAACGTGACACGCCGATTTCGATGAAACTTTTATATGTTGTAGAACTTGAAAAAATATTTGACACGTATTTTTTTTTTATGTGCGAATATCCACTCTGAAGAGGTGAAAACAGCCCTTAAATTTGGGGTTGAAAAAGTTATTTCCATAAATGTCTCGGAAACTATTAGCCGTAGGTAAGAAATTCGAAATGCAAATTTTGCTGTTTTAGAAGGCCAATAATATGGCGTAGGCAGACTTTTGAAAAATTTGTTTATTTAAAAATTGTTAGAGGATTTCGTTGGAACAGCAGAGGACTTAAGGGGGTCTTCTAGTGTGACGGTCGTTTTTTTAGGCCTTCTTTGCTAATTTATTACAGAAGTACGGTAACAGTTATTAACACGAGCTTTGTTCCTATGTATTTACTTGTCCTTGAAGAATCAGTACAAATTTCTTTTGTTGAAAACTAATTAACTACGGCTGCTGTGGAACACGTCAAACAGGAGCATGAAGAAAGAAAGTAGGTCCGTGGTTACCATGATTTGAGCTGTTCTGCTTGTCAAAAAACTCACCTGCTGCTATGTTATCTCTATCTACTGTCCGGCGTGACAGTGAACGTGTTAATAAGTAAATGTTGTTCAAATTATGTCGTGTTTGATGTCATTTTCATCAGAAAAATCTCATCGATATGTTAAGAAAAATTTCGGGATAAAGAAATGTAAAGTTAAAAAAGTTGATATTTAAATCGCTTGGTTGTAGTCCCTGACTCTACAAGTGTCAGGTTTAGCTTCCTTGCGGACTGACACTTGTGGAGAATTTACTGTACTCTTTTTCAAATAGATCTACGCAACATTCTACCACTTTCTTAACGCCAGAACTATCAGCCGAGTCGTGGTGACCCATCGGTGACCCTCCAAAAATGAATTTTTACGTAACTGAACCGTGATTGGAAAATTCGATTCGTATTCATTCAAATAGATGCACACACGTAGAAAATAAATTCGGAGAGTTACAAACGATGATACTGACCAGTATTGAACATTCACGTTTCTTCGAAAGTTGCTAATGGGTCGTTTTGACCCGGTCGGTAGTCCTAGCGTTAACAGAATTAGGTTGTTTCACGAAGCAATTCATCTGTAACAGCATCAGAACGATTCTAACACTAATGGACTCGTCTTGTCCCAATAAACAAAGCACATCTTCGTCGACTTTGAATTTTAAGAAATTTTCTTTATTTGTTAATACAGATGACCCTCGCATAACACGGTTGTAGGTTCCTAAAAGATGGCGTGTTATATGAGACAAAGAACTAGTACAAAAAAGGGGGTTAGATTCCAAAAATGAAAAAAAAAAACATACTATTATATCTTTCTAACTAAGAGAAATATTTTTATTAAAGCAATTTTCACCAAAAGTATAACATATTAATATGTATTAAATAAAAATATGTACTTTTTTATTTCCGCTAAACATAGTTCAGGGCTGCAAATTAATTCACAAAAATGACAAAAATAATTATCATTTCTTTAAAAAAGGTTGAATAATACTAATTTCAAATGAAATATCTTTGGCTTTCAAAAGCTCTTATTATGTTCCATATTGTTCGGGTATTTCCCTATTTCTCAAACCGTGTTCTAGGATGCCGTGTTGCACGAGGGTTGTCCCCAATTCTCGAACCGTGTTATAAAAGTGTCGTGTTATATGGGGGTTGCCTGTAGTTGTCTTTACAATGTGGTTTTCGCGAATATAACTTGGACGATCTAAACTGCCTGGTACTTCAATGTTGACTGCCTGTTCCCTTTTTCGAGGCTGCCTTTATATTAGGATTTTCTTGGGAGCTGCGAGTGGGGGAATTTAGGAATGCGTCCGCTAGGTAAGGACCAGGAATGTGTAAGGATAACGACCAGGACTCGTTAGGATCGAGGGTTCGATGGTTAGAAAGAAGAATTGCAGGGACAATGGTTAGGTAATGAACTTAAGGATTCGGTAGAAAAATGGGTAGAGTGCATCAGCTTGAAGGTCTGCCGGAGATAAGACAGGAATTGGTGGGAAAGTGGAAAACGCGCAGGTAGTGATCAAAACGGTACCTGGGATAAGGATCTGGATGTATGGGAGTCAAGGGACAGAGGGATGAGGATTCGACACAGCGAAGGGAGAAATCGCGAGTAAAGAGCGAGATAAGGACAGCGCCCCTACTCCTGGAAAAACGTAGTCTTTTCCTCGCTCCTGATTAACTTGTATCTGGGTCAAGGATAATTGAACAGGCGCCACGTAAACACGCGTGTCAAGCGCTTTTCTATCTTTTTCTTTCGTGCTCCATTACACGTATAGCCTGCCTAAATTTAACACGAATCCCACTCATTCCGCCAACGCGATTCTCGTTGTTTCACCTCGTTCGAGGTGATTAACATCCGAGAGCTGTTCCAAATCTTTTTCACATTCTTCTTATCGACCTCCAGAGGAGGAACTATCGTCTGAGGAGAAATCTGATTCGACGGAGAGGTGAATTTTAGTGGTCACAAGTAGTAGCTGAAATTCTGGTGCTTCGCAACAAAGTGTATACAGAGTGACTCACGAACTTGCGATTTCGTCTGAATCACCGAGGAAAATTTTCGAGAAATTTTCTTACCGAATATATGGAATTTTGGAAAATTTATAAATTCTTTTATAGAATTCTCTTACAAGAAACTTCACTGCTCTTCGAAAAGGTGCACGCTCCGTTTAAAGAATTCAAGGACTGCTCGATATCTCGTAAGCAAATGAATTATTTTAACACTAATCGTACCGACGCTTTATCTGTACCTATCCTTACCGTAGGCGGTCAAATGACAAGATATGAAATAATCACATTTTTGAGGAATACAGGTGATTGTCAATTGAATATAGGAAACAGCGCAGAAAATAGTCTTTAGATAATAATGAAAAAAAATCACATATTTACAGTTTTATTTTTAAGAAGAACGGGAGAAAACCGGTCATTTGACCGGGCGCGGTACGTTTAGTGTTACAAAATCGTTTCAAAATTATACGTCCACTTCATACGTTATTTCTTTGAAAATTTTTTAACGATGCGACTCACCCTGTACATCGGTATTCGAAAAATCTGCGAACGAGTAACATTCCCTTCTGATTACAAAAGCTTCTCCAAAAACTACGTATTCCCCTCGACACCGTGCAATTTCCGCGTAAAACAGTTTCTTTAAAAATTTTTTAGCGACGTGACTCACTCTGTACATGAATATCGCAAAAATCTACGACCAAACATTCTCTGTCGATTAAATCTCCAAAAATTGTGTTCCCTTCCATATCATGCAATTTTCACATAAAACACTATTTCTTTGAAAATTTTTTAACAATGTAACTCACCCTGTATGTCAATGTCTCAAAAATCTACGAACGAAGAACATTCCCTTCTATTTAAATCTCTGAAAATTGTGTGTTCCCTTCGATGCCATGCAATTTCCGCGTAAAACATTATATTATATTTCTTTAAAAATTTTTTAGCGATGTAACTCATCCTGTATACGAATATTGCGAATGTCTGAAAAATATTGCAAAACGACCAAACATTCTCTATTAATTAAATCTCCAAAAATTGTGCGTTCCCTTCGATACCCTGCAATTTTCACATAAAACACTTTCTTTGAAAATTTTTTAACAATGTAACTCATCCTGTATATCAATATCCCAAAAATCTACGAATTCCAAAAATTGTGTATTCCCTTCGATACCATACAATTTCCACATAAAACATTATCATATTTCTTTGAAAATTTTTTAGCGATGTAACTCATCCTGTATACGAATATTGCGAATGTCTGAAAAATATTGCAAAACGACCAAACATTCTCTATCAATTAAATCTCCAAAAATTGTGTTCCCTTCCATATCATGCAATTTTCACATAAAACACTTTCTTTGAAAATTTTTTAACAATGTAACTCACCCTGTATATCAATATCCCAAAAATCTACGAATTCCAAAAATTGTGTATTCCCTTCGATACCATACAATTTCCACATAAAACATTATCTTATATTTCTTTGAAAATTTTTTAGCGATGTCACCATCCTGTATACCAACATTGCAAATATCGAATATCGCGAATATCTGAAAAATATTGCAAAACGACCAAACATTCTCTATCAATTAAATCTCCAAAAATTGTGTGTTCCCTTCGATACCATACAATTTCCACATAAAACATTATATTATATTTCTTTGAAAATTTTTTAGCAATGTAACTCATCCTGTATACGAACATTGCGAATATTGCAAAAAATATTGCAAAACGACCAAACATTCTCTATCAATTAAATCTCCAAAAATTGTGTGTTCCCTTCGATACCATACAATTTCCACATAAAACATTATCATATTTCTTTGAAAATTTTTTAGCGACGAAACTCATCCTGTACACGAATATCGCAAAAATCCACGAACGAAGAACATTCCAATCGAATCTCCAAAAACTACGTATTCCCTTCGATACCATTTAATTTCCACATAAAACACTATTTCTTTTTTTTTTTAATTTTTAACAATACGACTCACCTTGTATATAAACACCGCAAAAATCCACGACCAAATATCCCTTCCAATGAAATCCCCTACGATACCGCGCCCCTCCTTACATTCCCTAAATCGTACTTGAAAGGGAACATTATGACCCACCGTCGTAAGCCACCAGCCAACTTCTTCTCTTGGAGAACAATCTCTCGAGGCCGAGCATGATCTCTTACTCAATTACGCAACGCGTTTTTTCCTTCTCTTTTTCTCTTTTATAAGAAACACAGCAAACAAACCGACAAAGTGACAAACGTTGCATCGACAGCAGTCGGCGGCAATTTAACCGTTCCGTAATCGTCGTTTCTCCTCTTCTCTTTCTTTCCTTCGTACGAAACCACCGGTCGAATAGGTATAATTAAAACGCGAAATTATTCATTTCGAGCGACAATTAGATAACGAAGCGTACAGGCGCGATTTTTCCACGGTTTTAACTTTGACACCTAGACACTACGGATTCACCCAAGCTGACCTAATTCCATGTGTCATCGCCGTTAATAGAAGAGTAACCGTGCACCGGTTAACCGCGTGCAAATGTCATTCCACGACGAGCCGTTTTTCTTCCAGTCGGTTCTTTTTTTACGCCTCGCGATCTTGATCGTGGAATCGTCGAACGCGCGTCGACTCTTCGATTGCCACTTTCAACGTGTCGTGAGTGCATTACCGAATACGTTCGTTTGTTAAAACGCTCACGTTTAGACGTCGAGTGCTGTAGATCGCGCACGTAAGTAGAGGAATTGTGTGTTGGGGAAAGAGAACACGGATTGGACTAGTTTTGCTCGAGCTCGGATCGATCTTGTTTAGAGGTGCGACGTTTAGGGTTTTTCTTGAAGCTTGCAGAGTAATTGGGGAGTTGAAACGAAGGATGTAAGTGGTGAAAATAGTATATCAGTGATAAAATTTCATTATCTGATGCATTTTTTGTTATTCGGTTTTTACTCTCGATTTAGGGAGATGGCAAAGGTTGGAAGATTGTGGCGTTCGAGTGATAAGCGATTTAAGATCCAACGTGAACAAACAGATTTTTTCTTTATACTGGAAATTTTGGCTTATGGCACTTGTGTTTATTAGTTCGTCTTCTCGATTAGATTCTAGAAAATAGGCGCGTCTTTGTTAATATCGTACCACGAGTTTCCTGAATTTAATGTTTCTCTAAGGAAAACATATTCGAAACTTCAAAAGAAGATCGATATAGGGGAGAATCGTGCAGTACCGGCCAAAGCTAGATAGCCCTGAGCAACGTATTCCGGCGACGTTCTTTTTTCTTCGGTATTTACGCTGGTGTTCCGTACGACGAAAGTTACTTTTCATAGCTGCAATCGTTGGGCTCACGCGGAGTGTACGGATCAAGAAAATATCGATGCCTAAATAAAAGTTCTATTCTATTTTTAAACGATTTTTACTAACGTTATTTATTACTTAGACCTTAAACGTAGCTCGCCGGTGCTGTACGACAATTTTTCGTTCGCTGCAAATTACTTAAGAAAATTTAAGAAAAACCATTTGTCCCCTTTTATCAAGCACCCTTTGTACTACAAATTACTGTTTTGAAATTTCATTTTTACCAACGTTAGCCCAAGTTGTAGTACAAAAACTTGGCCGGTACTGCACTGCTCCCCTAATCTCCCAAAGTTGGTAAATTCTTTTTTCGTAGAGGTTAATATTCTCGGATTTAGTTAGAATTTTCTTCCAAAAGAAGAGTGACCCTTTCGCTGCGGCAGAGTTGAGCGCGTAATTGGAACGGGGGCTTGAAAATTGCTAATTTTGGCCGTATCCTTTTAAAATTAAGGTGGAACTGCGTAAAGGGTGAAATGAAGCGGGAGAAAATGTTCCAAATGCCTACAAGCGCCAACAGTAATCGAAGGGTTGATACAATCTTCCAAAGTGAAATTCTTTTTTCCGAAAAAAATTAATATTCCCCGATCTATGATCTTCTATCTCTCATTTGTATAATCTGTATTTATTAAATCTATGCAAAAATTCCGGTCGCATTTTTTCGAAAAGTGTGTATTTATTTTTCATTTATTTTTCACTAATAATACGCTATAAATAGCAACGGTGAACATTTCAATGAGAAAAGGATCGCACGGTGTCGTTTAGAAGAAACTTTTGCACAAACCTACCAGCTAAACCGTGAAATACCGTAGAAAAAGGTCGTAAAATGTAAGTATCTCGGCGACAATATCCAGCATGAAAGGAAATGACGACGAGCCGCGAGGTAAATGGTCGCACTTGGACGTGATTGTTGAAAGGACGCGTCTCTAGGAGAGGATCGATCGCGCACAGACGTTCAGGTCGTGTCCCGTGCCGTTTAACGGTCGAATAAATCACGGATTCGTGCGTTCCAAGTAGAGTGGAGCGGTGGCCAATGTCAACCGACTGGTTCTTCATAGGCGACGCGTTTCCTTTTTGCACGAGGTGAACCAGAGAAATCGCGGGAACCAAGAGGATCGAGATGCGTTTCCTTATGGGGAAAGACAGACCTCGCTTCTGCGACCAACGCTTCGTGCTCGCCATGACCGTCACGGCCGAACCTACCGACCGATCTCACGGCGATCTCCTTTTCCCCCAAACTGATCCGCCATCTTTTCCTGCATCTCTGTCTTTCAGTTCGCCTCTCTTCGGAATTATGCGAATTTAAGCGAGAAAAGTGGGCAATTGGTTTTGTTAAATTAAGGAGAGCGTGGGTGAAAATGATTTTATTGTAATCAAGACGAAATATGAACAGATTTCACGGTGATCTCATTTTCTTCCCAAATCGATCCGCCATCTTTTTTTGCTTCTCTGTCCTTTAGTTCGTCTCTCTTGGAAATTAGGCGAAATTAAACGAGAAAAGTGGGAAATTGGTTTCGTTAAATTAAGGAGAGCGTGGGTGAAAATGATTTTATTGTAATCAAGACGAAATATGGACCGATTTCACGGTGATCTCATTTTCTTCCAAACTGATCCGCCATCTTTTATTTCGCCTCTCTTCGACATTAAGCGAAATTAAACGAGAAAATGGGAAATTGGGTGTACTGAATTAAGATGAAAGTGTATAAAGAATAAAATGAACCCTCCTTGAGCAAATATATTTTTTCACAGTCCATAGGCAACAGGGTAGTTTGTGTCCAAGTCTAATTTCTTTACTGTTTCAAGCTTTCGAAAGATCTGAAAAAATTCTCGAGTACTTATCAAAGTCTCTACTACATTATACAATTGTTTCCGAAGACAAATGTTTCAAACTTCTTTCAACAAAAATACAAATTCGTGTCGCAGGAATATTGTGAAATTTCGCTTGGGTCAAAAATGACCCGGACTGCCTACAGACGGATAATTATTCAATTATAATGGAAACGCGCCAAAAGTAGGGTCAGTCTTTTGACTAGTATCGCAAGTTCTTTTAGCCCTGAATTAATCTAGCGAATCTTAAAGACGTGTAAAAATCGATCGTTGAGGTTGTATAAAAGATCAAAGATAACGAGCTACTCAGAATTTCTTCTTTTTAATTACATTTTCCACGAACAGTTTCTCTAACTCACCACGCCGATGTTTTGGCGACCGGATACGTCTAGCTGGAGGAATAATAAACGCGAAAAGAAAGGTCAGCAACGGGGAGACTAGCGAACGAGTTAAAATAGACATTGGCCACCTATGCCAATGACCCATATTCCATCTATTCTCGGCGTGCCGCGAATTAAACTTCGCCGTGTAACGCCACATGCTCGAGATCACTGGTTTCCCTTCAATTCTACCCGATTTCGCGGTTCTTGCCCCTTTCAAATTCGGTACAACTACTTGTCGTGAACATCTTCCACTTGAGAAAATCCTATAAAATGGTGCGACGATTCGAAATGTGTCTTGTGTGGCGACTTAATTTGGTCAAAAGTTGCTTTTATAGCTCGCATCGTGAAGCAATGGGTTAGGTTAGATAACACCCACGCAAAGTTAAGACACAAATCCTATCGAACGCTTATGGATGGAAAAAAGACTAAGAAATTATGCAATAACGAAATGTTGAAATATGAACTTATGAATGTTTGGAATAACGTCGAAGTGGAATACGTGTGGCAGATTGTTTAAAAAAATATCGTTAAATACAAAGGTGGCCCAAATATTAATACTTGAAGAGTTAATTGTATTTTTAAAGATGGCCCAAATATTAATACTTAAAAAGTTAATGGTATTTTTAACCATCCATAGGCAATCTGGGTCACTGATGACCCAAGCGAAATTTTGCTCTTTTTTATTTAAATTCCTGGTATTGTTACACCGAATCGTTATTTTGCAATAAAGTTTAGTTAATACGACACACATTCCCATTGATAAAAATCTTAAAACTCGTGTTCTAAAAAAACATATCGATCGTTTGATATCTTCACTGCCACCGACGCAGCATATGCGTTCCAGAACGTATTTCTCTGCGTGCTCTCAATTTTCTGGTGGCAGCGAACGTGTTAATACCTTCACTGCCACCGACGCAGCATATGCGTTCCAGAACGTATTTCTCTGCATGCTCTCAATTTTCTGGTGGCAGCGAACGTGTTAATACCTTCACTGCCACCGACGCAGCATGTGCGTTCCAGAACGTATTTCTCTGCATGCTCTCAATTTTCTAGTGGCAGCGAACGTGTTAATACCTTCACTGCCATCGACGCAACATATGCGTTCCAGAACGTATTTCCCAGCGTGGTATCGATTTTCTAGCGGCAGCGAACGTGTTAAAACCGACAATTACAGAGCACGAATACTCTGACTCATTGTACATTCGTATTTTTATAAGACCGTCGTGTTCTTTTGATGACGCAACGGACCATCGAGTGTCCTTATTTGCATACGAGCAACATTTAGACATTTCTACACCGCTCTGTGGGGACTTGAAATAAAAAAAAACTGTGCAAGGTGAGGTAGTAGCATGGCGTCAGCCACGACGTAATATCGCGGATGTTAATGCGTCGATTACGCCACGTGAGCGCGCGGATATTATGGTCGACGTTGAAAGCGATTCGAGGAAGGCGAAATTATACATTCCGCGACATTTTACTCGACGATAATCATGCTAAACGATGAACTTGAATCGTTGCTTCGGTAATCCGCCAAATTTGTATCGTGACTCAATACGAACAATTCAGTCCTAATAACGTTTGTCCAAAAGAAAAACTCCACAATTTTTCTGTCTTTCTTTCCATTTTAAAATTTCCACAGAATTAGCGTATTCCTTCTTTCTTTCTTTCCACTTTAAAATTCCCACACAATTAGCCTATTCTTTCTTTCCATTTTAAAACTTCCACAAAATTAGCGTATCTTTTTTTTTCCACTTTCACGCTGTTTGACTGCGAAGAAACGAGACGCAAAACGCTGATTCAACGGGAATGAGGAATTGGTTGTCGATCAGCTTTAAAAATACTCGAGCACCACTTGGATTCTAATTCCACCCATGATCTAAATTCTATCAGCGCACTTGTTCGTTCCTCTACACGCGAAGATACATATATCGAACGATTCGAAATATCGTCCACTTTTCGTTATCCTATACGACGTCCTCAAATTCTTCTTTTCTTTTCAGAATGCAGCTCTCCACGTGTTGCAGGTGTTACTCGCTGAAAACGGGGACACTTTTCACCGGAATATTAGGCATAGTGAGTAGAATTTACATATTTTCACAGGACTTGAACACATTCTATGAGAAACACCGATTTTTACCGTGTCAATCAGATCCTGTCGATCATCTCGTTGGTCATGATCTTCACTCTGAACGTCGAGTGGAAGACCATACTGATCGACGTGCTGGACCAAAGTATCGTCAAGATCATTTTCGCGATAAATCTCTGTATGACGATCTTGATCTCGACTCTGCTGATTATAGGAGCTGTTAAGGTACATAGTTAAGTTCCAAGTGATCCATCGATCGTTGTTAACTGTAAAACAACTAGTTGAAGAGATTCGAGAGCTTTATGGAAAAGGGAAAAATGTTTCTGTGCAATAGAGAGATGAGAGAGGAGGATTGAAGAGTTGAATTGTTGCAGAAAGTCACATTTATGATGTTACCGTGGGTGGTGTTAGGATTAATCCTAGCGATTGGTCTATTGGTGAGCGTGATCTACACGTCGATCATGTTCTTCGTGAATCACGAGACGATAAATGGAATTCTGTGGCTCGTCATTGGCCTCATAGCTGTTGGTGAGTGTATCGTTGCCTTCGCCAGACCTAATCTATCGTCGTTCTCTTTTTAAACTTTGATCTGGCGGTTTTTAAGTGATATTTTATAACGCGTGATAGATGCTTTGCAAAGAAAGAAATAGTCAATTATTTGTGAGATGTAAATAAGAAAGAAACTTATGTGAATGATAAAAAAGAGATTTTAGATTGCACAGAGTGTCTTCTGAAAGAAATAATTGAAAATAAGGAAAGAAATAATGAAAAATAAGAAAAGAAATAATTTCAATATCCTCTATAAAAGAGACACTCTGTTTTCAATTTTTAACAACCAATTTCTTTAATATATTTCCAACTGAAAGAATTGCGATTGAACAGATATCCAAGATTGCCAAAAACATTTTCCAAAAAGTTAACGAACGAACCTATATTAAAAAGATTAATAATACAAAATTACATCTAACAATATTACCCAAATGAAAATTTCTTCGAAGCCTATGTAAAAATGAAATATCATTCGTAGCACCTAGAAAATGTACCTAACATGTTACAACTAACGCTATAATAACGATCCAATATTTTTCCAGTGATTTACACGTACTTATGGCTGGTCGTGTACAGCTACTTCCAGCAGCTGAGGTACAACAAAATGATCACCAGAATCGGTCCATACGGGAGACCGTACAATTACCGACGACCCTGAGAGAAACCAATATCGATCGTTTCCTCTTCGCGAACCAATTAATTAAACGGTTTTCTTATTTTTGTTGTTCTTTTTTCGTAACGAGAGAAAAAGATTCTCTCCTTCGTTCGGATCGAACGAAAGAAGAACAGCCGAGAATTGCTTCGAGAAGAGATTCTACTTAATGTTCAATTACCGTAATCGCACCAAAGCACAAGGCAACGCCTTCCGAAAACCGTTCGATCGTGTTTGCTGAATTAAGACTAATCGCTGTTTTAGATTATAAATTGTATTTATAGCGACGTGATGCTCCCTCGAATGATCATCGATATCTTTCGCAGGCTATACCTGTCGCATTGCGAACTTTGGAAAAGTGTCGCAAGTCGAAAATCGGAAATTTTTTAGAAGACGTTTCTGTTTGGAAAATTGATCAATTAGGTACAGAATCTAAAATTCGCCCACTCGAAGTGTTACAGTTTGAGATTCTGACATTTCTTGGTTTTTGAGAAAGTTAATTAATTACAGCTTTGTGAAATGTAAATTCGCTAAAATTTCGGCACTTCAAGTGTTACAGTTACAGACATTTCTTCTCGCAGTAAATTTGCATAACTTTGAGGACGGAGGACTGTATACCGTGTCACGTACTGATTATTCGTATAACACATAATTAGGTCACTACTTCAATTTTTCTTTTAAACTAAACTACATCGAAATTTCATTTTCGGCAAAAATGCGTACAGGAGTTCACAATCGAGTTTATTGGTTGCGTTCATAGTGTTTCGTGGACGCATATGAGTCTATCGTCCTCAAAGGGACAATTAGAAGACACCAAGCGATAAATAAAAAATTCAAAATTCATCACTTTCGACACTTTTCTCGCGAGGATGCAACACGATCTTCCTTTCAACATAGATCGTTAATTTTCTACAATTCACAAGATTCCTACCATTTACCCAAATCGTCTCTTCCCTTTTACACATTTTTAAAAAAAATAAAACCTCTACCAAGAGAAGTAGAAAAAGATTCCATCTTCTTGGTCCACAAGATCTCTTATTCTCATATTTTACCCGGACTCTCAAACTTCTCTCTTCTCCACATTTCTCGAGATTCTATCTTCACTTCGACTGTCGTTCGAGGGTGCAACAACGCGAACACTCGAGGCCTTGTTATCCGGCGAAAAAATCGAGACAATGCCGCGGTCCGCGATAAGAAAATGGCGAGGCTGACCCCCCCCCCCCTTTCGGCCGGGGGAACGAAAATAGATTCCATTTTCAAGGATAACGAAAATGTTAAGCGTATGCAAAAATATACGCATGTTGCCACACCGCGAGAACCAGTCTCTCCTACGCAAGGTTAACGACTGACTTTATTTATTTCCCTGCCCCTCCCCAAGCCCACTTTTACTCACAACTACTCGTCTTTCTATACAGTGTACCGATCGGTGTACCATTTGTAACTATTGTTACGAACAATAAATTATTCTTCGTTTGTAATCTTCCTTCTTTTTTCCTCCTTTCTTCTTCTTTCACGCAGGAAAATGTTTTATGCATGCGTCGCACGTGTAGGATGTTTTATGCAGCCGATTATATTCGACATAAAGGAGAGACATTTCGCGAAGTTTATTCCGTCGTGTTCTCCAAATTCTCGCGAATAAATAAAGAGAGCGAGGCAGCGGCGAGACCAGTGGCATGGCTGTCGCAACCGAAATCTGTTTGCTTCGAGGCTCTCCGTGACACACGAGCTTCATCCTTGGCAGGTTTATTTCTGAGAAGAGAAATTTTTCATATGGAATCATTTTGGAAAGGAGGGTACGTATGTGTGGTACGTACTTGAAAGAACTGAAACAGCCGCTTGGGTGAGATCTGTTTAAGACTAAACGTTCGTAGTGGTCGCCGGTGAACTCGAGGAAACCTTCCATTCCGCATAGAACCACTTGCAATGAAAAGAGAATACGAGATTAAAAAATGTATAAGGGGAAGTTTGATGTGCTTTTCTTTTTGTTTACCTTGTTCCATCATTAAGTCTGGCGTTTGGTAGGGAAACCCAGCTGCCTCGATGTCGTGCAGGTCTTCGAGAATCGCGGAGCAGTAGGAGAGTGTTAATTTGGACGACGGTAGGTCTTGGTCGCACTTCATCTGGAAGAAAGTGAAATTTGGTCAGAGATGTGTGGAAGGTTTTATCACAAAAAGTGTGACAAATTGGAAGCCTAAACATTTTTTCAGGAGAGCCAAAAGAAAATTTCTGCTTGGAAAATTACTGCACTAAATTAGTTCAACTTTTACCGTTTTTTCCGATGGTAAATCTACGTGCTGAGAAATGTTTGCGGAGAAAAATTGAAAATTTTTCATTTCTGCCAAAAAAATGTATTAGCGAAAAATTTTCGATCTTCATTTCATTGCTCGGAAGTGGAAAAATGGCAGAATTTGAACTCCAATACCTCAAGTGAGCAACTTTTAATACTTTAATTGAGTAATTTTCTTTTTGCTCTCCTCAAAAATTTCACGACAATTTTCTCCTTAAAAAAAAAAAGTATTAATTTCACCAACTGCCTTGGCAACTTGAACCATCAGCAATCGATGGGTCAGAGGGTAGCCCCTGGTAGATTCCAAGTTCGCCAGTATTCCGTAACAATAATCAGGAATTGCACAATTCCTATTCAGTCGATTTCGAACGATTTCAGCGAGGCATTCGTCGCTTTCCTTTTCCTTAGGAATTCCCTGCATTACCATATTTCGTACATCTCGATGAGTTAACTTCGAATTACTTTTCCACTCTCCCAAGACTCCCCTCCGCCATTTTATCTTTCTTATCCACAAAGAGGGACGACTTAACGTTTCCTGCACTAAAATTGAACAACTTCGTTAGTTTCTTCGATAGAAGAAAATTGGTTCCAAGTAATTAGTGATAATTTTAATTACACAATCGAACGTCCTCGTTTCCTGGAGCAACATTGTTCAACAATTGCCTTCGAGTAGAATCGCAAATTGTTAAAATTGCCACCAACATTTGCAGATACTTGTCTTCAAGATGTCGCGCATTTTCGTGCGAGAGAGCAGCCACTAGGTTAGCTGTTACGAAAAGTATATAGTATTAGCGTGATAGAACAATGCAACGCGGTTAGAATTGCAAATTGAAATCTTGATGGATGTTCACCTTCGACGATGGTTGCGGAGAACGTTACATCGGCGTTCATCTGATTAGGTCTGCGATTAATGTAATCCATCACCTTCGAGAGAGCGACTAACTTCTCCTCTGCAATGATTACGAGTTAAACAATCTTCGAATCTGTTATTTTCTAACTTGAAATTATTCAAGATCTTATGATTCTTTTTTTTATTATTGTGGAGTTATTTTGTACGTTTTCGAGTTATTTTCGACTGTCCAGCAAATGTAGAAATTTTTTGAACTAGTAAAATTGATAAAAGATAAAAATAAAAGGAATGTTTATTTAAATTAATAAATATTCTTACAAGGGAACTTGGTTACTCTGAAAATTTAGTGTCCTAGATAAAGGTGTTTTCATCCTGAAGAACCAAAAAGTAGGAAGAAAGAAAAATTTGCACGATACTTCTATTGAAAAATTTAATTAATGTCAATTTCTAAGAATATAAATAGATTACGCTCGTCTGCAATATTAACTTTTTTCACAAATCTTTGTCTTCTTTCAGAATTTTTATTGTAATTACTCTGCACAATTATACTTAAGTTCGTTGACAATATATCGTAATACAGCGCTTGCCTTCTTCGTTTGTATCGTGTATTAAATATCAAAAGATTTACGTCCATAAATAAAGTATCATTATTATTATTAAACGAAAAAATTTCAAAGGTTTCTCTGAACAATCTCACCGAAATCCTCAGGAACGAATTTTCCACGAGTCCATGACGGGAAGCAACAGAGTAGCAAAATCGCGCATGCGCTCGTGAATCTACGGAGCCTCTTCATACGGCTTGTTCACGATCCTCAAGAAGCAGATCCTCGATTTTCCCAGGACTTTATACTCTTTACCCCACTGTGCACCCCCATACGTCCACGTAATTTTAACGAAATTAAGACCGAGCTACGGTTCCTCTCTGTCACGTACACGAGAAACGGCGACAGCCACTTTTCTTCATAAGGATCGACGCGTCGAACGCAAGAGAGAGCGAACTTTTGAATGAAACCACCCTCCTAGGAACCACTTGTGGGTGTTTGATTAACATTCGAGGAGAAGCAATACCTCGAGGCGTACTATCGTTCTTCTTTGTTTGCAAAGTAAGGGAAACGAATGGGTAAGACGGTAAATCTCTATTAACCAACGAAACTACGTCGACCAAGATTAAGGTTATGTCTGTTTTATTGATCGAAACGTTACAAGGTAAGAATCTTTTAACACGAATATTAGATTGTTCGATTGAAACGACAATGAAACGATTTTAGAAGCAATCAGGATGAAAAGGATTCATGTAATCTTCAGAAATACAACCGGTTACACCGTGACTCAGTTTCACGCATCTTCCTGCCCTCTTCCTTGTCTGAAATGTTCGAGTAATACACTATTGGCACGTACCTTATCGTTTAGCAAAACTGTCCACTGTTAGAAATAAAAAATGTGCCGCAACTTACAACTTGGTATTGTATTTCACACAGTCTACCGTCATTGTCGTCCGAATTATCCATTGTTTTAATCTAGAATTTCATTTATACACGAAAAATTTGGAGTTGCATATATTTTTGAGAAAGATACTATTTTTTTGAGAATTTGTTTACCACGTTCGGATAACCGTGCGCAATAATTACGGGACCCTGGACGCTGTTCGTTAAATCCGCTGATTCTATGGTCCTCGATGAACTTCTGCTTCCAAGAGCCAGTATTATGATTAAGACGACGAAACAAACGATGTTCGATGACCTTTTGTACGAAAGGAATACGTGTTATTTGTTTGTTTGTGTTTTAAGTTAGTCTTAAGTTTACGTTAGATTGTTTAAGGTTAAAAAGACTTACATGATGAAAATTGCTTCGTATTATTTTCTGCGAACGAGAGGATACATTTAAGAAGCAATGTGGTACTGTCGTTGTCCTACCTACAGGCATCTTTTATATTCGTCGAGAAGCCGACAAATTTCTTTTCGATTACGAAAGGGTTTCAACCCCCGAAAGGGGTTCTGATTGTTTTTTTGTGAATTACGACACGCTATAACAATTCTGAGTGGTTCGATGAACGAGATAATCGTTTCTAATCAAAGTTTCAGTGTTCAATTAAGGATTGTGTAACGTTTTAAGTTTCAAAAGTTCATACTGGAAACGTTACGATTCAGAATTCAAATTTAAATATTTACAAAATTTGAAATTCAACGTTTTGACATGTCAACATTTAAAATTTAAAATTTTTCATCGTGTTTTTTATCATAAAGTTCAATCGCGGTAAACTTTATGAAGGTTCGTTCTACTACTTTACCTGCGTGAAGAAAGTCTGTTGTATGTATCTTACATACGTGCCTTTTACCTTACCTTTCGACGATTCCATGAAAAATATAAAAACGTAATTTTTAAAAATAATCGTTCGTTCGTTTATTTGCCTATTAACATCGATTACAACTGATTGAGACGAATGTTTACAAATCATTTATAATAATACGAATTACATCGTCAACGAGTAACTTCAACACTTAACATTTAAAATGCTGAATTGTTTCGGTACTGAAATCGAGAATTGTTGCTACTAATTGTTTACAGTAAACGAGAATGTTTTATACCTAACCTACATATTATAAATACATAAAGAATTATTTGTGCTATGTTGTAACTAATATAAAACGGTGGTTTACATAGTACAATTGCTCAATGAAAAATGAAAAGATTGTACAAAATGAGACATGCAATATAAAACAATTTTATTCATTCATCATCCTTTGTTCTTTTATCCTTCATAATTTATAAAGTTTTATCTATTGTATTCCTTTAAGAAATTGATCTTCATTCTTGCATATAATTAAAATAACATTGTATTTCTTTAGATTAATATCAACAGCCTTTTCTCAGTATTTAAATCTCTTGAATGAAATTGCTAACATATTTTCAAATAGGTTTTACAAACATATGTATATGTATATGTATACATATATGTCTTAATAGCAAAAATATACATATATTCACATAATTTACAGAAACAGTTTTCATAACTAAATTTATGATAATAGTTATAATCCTAAGGAATTTGATTAATTATTGACTGTACTTTCTTACCCTCTTTTACCATTTTTATCTTTTCCATGCTTCAATAAAAGATAATTATATAACTGTCAGTCTCAAATATACAACTTAATATAAAAATTGAATAAATATAAGATCACTATCGTATACATATAGCAACAAATGGACATAAGGTAGAAGTGGCTCTAGAATACTTGATACTTTAAACGGTGATCCAAATATGTGTTACAAATTCATTGGAATTTGTATGCAGATTTCTTTGTAACATAACATACAAATGGTGGAAAATATTAATTACTATTAATTAATCATCCTCTTAACCTATACAATTCCAACACAATGTTACTCTACAACAATCAGAAACTACAACAGAATGTAGTAAACATATCAACAATACCTATTTATTCTTGAAATCCTTATCATATAAACAGTGAAAAATAGCTTCTTGTATTTCCTATAATAATTTAAAACTTTCTTCAGTGATATAATTTATAAAAAAATCAACCGTATCCTTAATCACAGATTATGTGGTCCTGGATTTTCAAATTCAGTTTCCACTTGAATTCTGTAGTCAATAGCAACAAATGCAATGATCAGAAGCATTGGTAGACGAAACCTTGAATGCCATCCAAGTTTAAGCATAAAGATCAAAGCACGATGAAAAGTGCCACCACTTCCTAAAAAGACTTCAGTTGCCATTGTCATTGTCATTGTACTAATCGTGCAAAAATCAACTATAACTTTTGCTATTGATTATTTTCAATTATTCCTTGTAGAGTGAGGAAGAAAATTGTGTTACAGTAATCCCAAAATAACTGGTTACATGTACCAACTTAACCTGTGACAAATTTTACGCAGTTGTAATTACTTCGAATTATATTAATCATTTAGTAAATTATAAATTAACTTCATTTCAGTAAATTAACAACTTTTATGTGTAATACTTCATAAATCATATCTACTGTCCCTCGTCGGGCAAACTAACCTTCAAAACATAGAAAATCCCTTGCGTTTGAAATTCGTGACTTAAAAATAGCAACTAATAACGAATTTTATGTAATGCGCTATTTTCAGAAATTTTTTCGAGGAATATCGTCTCATTGAGGTTAAAACTTCACGATATACTTCATGATATACAATGACGTTCAACAGTCAACCCACTTATGATTTTCACTGATTATTGAAGTATTTTTAGAAACTTGTTCACTTTACTTGTCTATACTATTTAAATTATCAAAATAATGTGCTGCCTGCAACAACACAACTTTTACATAAAATATGAATTTAACAGGTATAGTGGTAATCATCATATTCGATATCGATACGTTATCAGAAATTCGATATAACAATGGGTCTTTTTAATTTGAAAATATAAGGCGCGAATTTATTCCCGATCTCTTTATTGTTTCTTTCTGTGTTATATAAACAATCGTATTAACAAACGAAGAAAAATTTCAACATGCATCTCGTGAAATGTCATTTAAAAAGTAGTCAAGAGAGGAATATTGAAAAGTAACTAGGACAATGATGAATTAAAGTAGCTAGAATCTCCATACGCCTAATAGTAAAATCAAAAACAGTTCTTATAGGTTAAATTTTCATTTCTTCTTGTGAAGTAATAATGCCGCAAGATCCAAAACAACTTTGAACAAGCGCTGAAGGTTTGTCCTGCCATCTAGAAAATATTTAGTGCCGATATCAGTGCATATAGTTAAGTCAATACGTTGACGGTCAATGGTGGGGTCAAGCAGAATACCATATGTAAGAAGCAACATTTTACGCAGTTGCCAGTAACACATTCGTGAACATGAACATCAGCTTCGAGGGGAAACGTATTCTGGTAACAGGTGCTGGACAAGGTACATCACATAATTTTCATATACACAATTTGTTAATTAAATTTTATAGAAGAACAATACAAACAAATTTTTTCATTTATTCCGACCAATCAGCGGAAACTTTGCAGTTTTTTATTTCTTATTTTACATAATGATAATGCTTATCTTAGAATACGGTCTCCGCTGAATATAATCTTCATAAACTTCGCGGTAAATTTACGACAGCTCTAGGTCAACAATTAAATCACTTTAAAGAAGAATAAATTTTGCCTGTTTTCTGTTTCCAACGCAAAGTAATTGTCGCACTTTTAATATTACTAGACAGGGTATGTCAAAGATTACAACTCAAGCAATTTGAAATGATTATGTTAAATTGACAAAAAAAAAAGCGTCGTAATGTCTGCCTGCACTATAAATCACATTCATTCCATAATTACTGCTCTTCAAATTCGCGCACGAAGGAAATTATCCGTTTAACAGGTTAATCTCAACGTTGAATCGTAGGCATCGGAAAAGAATTGGTTTTTCGTCTCGCCGACTATGGAGCAGAGGTAATAGCATTGTCGAAGACAGAAAAGAATTTAGACGATCTACGCACACGAGATCGGCGTATTAAGACCATTTGCGTGGATCTCTGCGATTGGGAAGCCACTAAGAATGCCGTTGAAAATGTATTGCCCATCGATCTTTTGGTGAACAACGCAGGAGTAGCGTGTCTAAATTCCTTCTTCGACGCCACACCGGAGGATTTCGACCAGACTTTTGCTGTGAACGTGAAAGCCATTCTGAATGTCTCTCAAGTTGTCGCGAAAGATATGATCCGAAGAAAAGTCGGTGGTAGTATCGTGAATCTTTCTTCTCAAGCTAGCCAGGCGGCTTTGAAAGATCACGCTGTATACTGCGCCTCGAAAGGAGCAGTGGACATGTTAAGCAAGTAAGAAACAGCTTGAATTTCATTTGTCGTATGATCAGTCGGTACATGTGCAGTACCTTCGTATAGTAATGAATCAGAAAACAATCGACAATGTTCTCCAATTCTGGTTAGAAATAAGAACGGACTAAATTAATGATAAAAAGAAATTAGAATGTTTTTCTAAGCGAGAAATTAAGCACTTATCTACTGTATATACAGTATACGCGCGTATGATCTGTTTTACCTACCTTATCTTTTAACAGCAATTGATAACATCTGAAAATTCACTGAAAAAATGTCACTTTCGATCTGTTATACAAATTGAAAATTGTCTCTTTTTTCTATAGAACAATGGCCCTTGAACTTGGTCCATACAATATTCGTGTGAATACCGTGAATCCTACGGTAATCATGACAGAAATGGGAAAGCTAGGCTGGAGTAAACCAGGGAAAGCACATTCCATGTTGAGTAAAATACCGTTGGGTCGATTCGGCGGTAAGTAGCCAAGTTTTATTTCGGAAACGACATTTTTCACTACTTGGTATTTTACATCAATTTCAAAGTGTCACAAATCTTATTGTCGTTTAAAAACTGTACTAGCGATAGTATCAATTGTTGTACCATTATAATTGCAGAAGTGTCCGAGGTGATCGATGCGATAGTATTTCTATTAAGCGATCGTAGCTCGATGATTAACGGAGCCACTTTGCCGGTGGATGGTGGATTTTTGGCAACATAAATAATCGCTAAAAACAACGTGCCTCGAATGACGTGGCTAAATGGTACAACTATGCACACAACTGTCAAAGACGATAATATTTAAATAATAATAATAAAGAACGTTATTAAATATAAAAATTCTCTGAATCTTCGTCAGTGTCGTCGCTGGACCAAAGTAGTCCTTCTGTCCTGCAAAGACCACCGGTAAAAAAATATGAATTACGGGATGAAATGAAAAAAGAGAGAAAGGCGAACATAGTTACTCATTTATCTCGTTTAATTTAAAAAAACGCTTCGTTTCTTCTTTTTTTTGTTTTGTTTTTATTATTTAACTAGAATTCGGCGAGCGGACGGCAAGGAACGCCGCGACACGGTCCGCGCGTTCGTCGCTCGAAAGGAAACTTCGTTTATATCTCATTAAAATATTTGAAACGAAACGCGGTTACCGTTTCCACGGGGCTCCCTGGTGCCGCCATTTCCGGTCTAAAACAAACGTTCTCGTTTCTCGGCTCTTCCTAATCGGTAATTATTTTGAATCCCTACGATGAACATAAAAAGTGGCGGAGAAAAACGCGAAATCAGACTCTGCCCGTTGCACGAAGGAGACGTTCAGAAAAAACTGATCCAGACACACATATATATATATTTTTTTTCTTTTGCATTTGACTTGATTCACGCTCACGAATTCCATTTTTCCGCGCCTCTTTTCTCACGCAATCCACGCTCACGAGCGAGAAGCATTTCCTTGTTTCAAAATTAACCCTTTATGCCAGCGATTCTTAATCGGTATTCTTTTTTTTTTCTCTCTTACTTTTTTTGTAAGTTTAACGAAACTGTCTCGCAATCGACCAACCACTTAACCTCAAAAAAAAAAAAAAAAAAAGGGTAAAAAAAAAAAAAAAAAAAGGGTAAAAAAAAAAAAAAAAATAAAGAAAAAAAAATGAGAAAAAGGTAAAACAGATAAACGCTTAGTCTCGCTTTGCACTCCCTTAAGAATAATGTTTTTCCTTCGCTCATCATGTGTTATTATCAAAAATTAATTACAGACCACGTGTGGTGTCTTTGTTTTTTTTTCCTGTTTTCTTTCTTTTCGTGAACTTCAAAAAATACACGATTACACGTCGCAGATTAAGAATCACTATCCTACGATTCGATAGAGTACAAGTATTAAAATCGGTTAACACGTAGAAACGCTTTTGTGTGTTTCCTCGAATGCACCATCCTCGCAAAACGCTACAACATACGGAATTATCTTCACAGTTCGGCGTTTATTACTGTGTTCTTCTTTTTCTTTTCTTTTCCCCCTATTAAATAGCTGCCTATTTTTGATTATTATTCTGTCGTACGGAGAATCGTGTCCCTGTCGTTTTTACGCACCGCTCGCACACGTGTGACGATATACATAAAGGATTAACTTCAAGTCAACATGCGTCCAACTACCAAAAAGAAATAGAAGTAGTAATAGCAGTGGTGTGGTGGTGGTGGTGGTAGTAGTAGTAGCAGTAGAAGAAAAAGAAGAAAAAAAAAATAGGTAAGAAACATCAACGAAAAAAAAAAAAGAAAAAAAGTCTTCGTACATCTCTCGCAACAACAATCGCTGCGTCATCGCGATACATAATAATACATCACCGATAGACAAGAATAAGCAAACGGACAACGACGGTCGTCGTCGTTTCTTTTTCTTTTCTCTTCTCTTTTCTCTCGCTTTTTTTTTATACAATTGCACTTCAGTTTTAGGAGTTAACGAACTCACATCAAGAGAATGTCAAGATAATGCAAGCTTAATTTCCCTTAATTTCTGATCGACCCACCGGCGTATACGCTTTCGTTCTTCCGAATTGAAATTTTTTTAAAATTACAAGGAAAAAAATCAAATTTTCTTTTTTCAAGATTATGGAGAATAAAGAAATGTGTAGCACCGTTTAAATAGGCCACATGGAATATGTGTGAATTTGCGAAAGAGATGAATGAGTGTGAAAACGCGGTAAAATTCGTGTAATGCCAGTTTCACACTGGTGTTCGCGAACAGTGGAGACACTTTCGTATGTAATGAACATTATTCGCTCAGAAGGCGGTACATCAAAGTATCGTGAGTTGTAAATTTGCTAGCTCAAGCTTAGCGAGTTACACTGTTTCTTGAACAATTTTGACCAGTGTGGAACCGGCATAATAGCATCGCGCGAGAGAAGTATTTTACAATCGAGCGCATCATCCTCACTCACCATTTCCTCTAACTAATTAATAGAACAATTTCAGAATAAAGATCGCACACAAATATTTCAGCATTACAAAGAGATTCCTCAAAAACATGAAGTAACATGAAATAGTCAGCAAATTGCGACCTAAGTTACAGACTTTACAAAGCAAAGCAGGAGGTTCTACAATGCAAAGTGGCTGAAGATACACTCTAAGAACCAGAATACACACACCCTTTTCAATAATGAGTATACCACAATACAGTACGCATATTCATTATATCAGAAATTATACACCATTGATCTGATAGCGAAGATATAGAAATGTCGTTTAGAGTTTACTCTGATGGAATGAACCAAGATGAACATTAGATCAGCTTCAAATAAGAAGTTCGACGTGCATATGCCTTTTTGGGCCATAGAGTTCGCTATAACTGGAGGAATGTCGAGGAGTTCTTTGAACGTGTGGTTATCACCGGGCGGCAGGCGGTGCACTAACTAACTTACCACCTAACGTTAAGTACTTGCAAGAGGCAGTGGAGCTGATCGCGCACACCAGAGACGAACTTCACAGATCAACGAGCGATACTAACAAGGAAAATCCTAATAGAGAAGTCGTAATCACTTGGAGAGACTTTCTGTACGTTCCACGCTCTGAGAACAGGGGTATCCTAATAGGACTGAACCTAATTCGTGAATTAGGCGTTAGCATCGTTTCACAATATGAGAATAATCAAGAGTAACAGAGTGTGTGCTTCCAGACTGCAACGAGAACGTTGGATAGATACATAACGACCTAACTATAGCCACTATTTAAATTTCCCGCGCGAAATAAGCGTGAAATTACACGAGACGAATGAGCTTGAGCGCAATAATACCAGCGTCAAACGCGGTAACAGTCGTCTAAGAGCACAGCGCATGCGAGTAGCCGAGATTATTTTTACAATCGAGCGCATCCTCTCTCAACAATCTTCTCTACAGTAATTAATACACAACAAACGTTTCTTAACATTTCCAATATATGGAGAACGAAAAGTATAACGCTGGTGGGTCGACGTGTATAATCAGCCACTAGCGATAGATTAAATATCCGCAAATTTATACGTATTTTCTGTTTCACTTGTTGCTTCTTACATAATTATAATATCGCGTCGATAAATTGTGTTATTATTATTATAATTTTTTTTTGTTTCTTTCGATCAGCGCAGGGCAAATTTTTCTCTAAATTATTATAACCTGTGCGCTCTTGCCATCCTCGACATCGCAACACACACACATACACACGCATACGTACATACGATTCAGGCGCACACACACACACGCGCGCACACACACACACACGAAAGAAAGAAAGAAGAACAAAGTAGAGGAATAAAGAAACTGATACTATTGGTTTGTTATTTTTTTTTCTTTTATACTCTGTTTACATCAGCGAGAATCGATTCCAAGGAGAAAATACGAAGAGGGTGTCCTTTTTTAGTAAACGCAATTCAATGAGACACTCTCGTCTGACTCGTTTACGCTCGCTGTCAGATCCCCCTCAAATCTCCCGCCAACGGATTAAACTCGACGATTAAAATCCGTGGGTAGCCTAGACGACGCTTAGTCGATCAGTTAGCCGCTCGTGCTTTTCATCAACCTACAAAGAAAGAAAACGTGAATGCAAGCAAAGGCCGAGTCTCAAAGATGGCAAGAGTTTTTGTATTTTTTTTTTTTTGTTTCTGTTGGTTTCACATATTTTTTTTTTCTCTTATTTTTGTCATCATTCTGTATAATATGTTATTTCTTTGCTCTCTTTTTGGTTATGCGACGAAGAGAAACGATGAAGAAAGAAAGAAAGAAGAAAAAAAAAAGAAAAAAAAACAGTAATTTTTCGTACCAGAATGCCATCGAATTATCATCGCTATTTAACGGTCTTCCTCCGCGTTTCCTCTCTCGAGACACACACCACGCAAGTGCATACATAAACAAGATCATCCTAAAAGAAAAGAAACTTTTTTTGCTTTTTTCTCCCATCCTAAATCCGATTTATTTTCTCCTCGATACGCACGCAGCAGCATTCTTTCTAATCTTTCACTCTCTTCCCTTTGCCTCCTTACTCCCGTTGTTCCTCTTTGCGAGAAACGAGAGGACGATACGCGTAAACTATAACACAAAGGCAAAAATGGTGAAACGAAATAAGAAGAAGAAGAAGAAGAAGAAGAAGAAGAAGAAGAAGAAGAAGAAGAAGTAGTAGTAGTAGTAAGTAGAAGAAGAAGAAAAAGGCAAGCAAGCCTGTACAGCAGCTCAACGGCTAAAAACACGCTTCACTTTTTGTCTCTCCTTGTATGCATAGTACACAAAGGCAGTTATTATAATACTCTTGTTATTTTTCATTTTTTTCTTTTTTTTTTTTTTTGCTGTTTTCGTCGGTGTGATGCACTTTTGTGTTTCGATCGGACATTTTCACCCCTAATCTTCCGTTTTATTTCCATTCTTCCTTTCCCCGTTAATCCTCACTCACACGTTTGTCTGTTTGTTTTCTCTTCTTTAATTCTATTACTCACGCACGAGTGTACACACATGTTCGGATAGGTTTTCTCATCGTGAACCACATATATACACGCGAAGAGGATTTTATGTCAGTCGTTCACACAAATCACACGCACTCATTCATCGTTCTCAGTTGTTATTTCTTTTTATATACAGGGTGAGAGAAGTGAAACAGCCTGTCTAATTATCTTCCTTAATTATTGCGCTACGAGAGTATTTTTATTCGTAATTTAAATTGTTTCGAATGATGAATAAAATTTTCTTTTCTTTTTTTTTTTTTTCAAGGTCACCTGTGTTTTCGCACGAACGTATATATTTTCTTCTACTATAGCGGCAGACATTACATGTGCATTGTAACGTCATCTTGAAATTACTTTGGATTCTGAAATTTCTTTTCACGAAAAAATTTCTTTCCTTCTACCATAGTAGCAGACACATATGTGCATTCTAGCACGCATTATAACATAACCTTAAAACGACTTTGGATTCTGAAATTTTAAATCGAACACGCAACTTTCTTTCGTGAAAAAAAATTTTTTCCCGCCTTTTTCACTCTTTGAAATTATTTAAATCACGTGTAAAAATTTTCTGGTGCAACCATAGTTAAGAGAAGATAATTGGATGGTCTGTTTAACATGGCTCACCCTGTATATACATATATATATAGTTATTTTTCCCTTGGATAGATCATATAGTAATTGTATATACATATACAAACCGTATCGCAAATCGAATACAATTTCGATTAGTAATGCTTAAAATATGAGATTGATCGCGAATTTTCTACCTCGATGCCGTGATCGTCGTGACGCCTCGTCGATGATAGCTGGTCTTCGTAGACGCTTTTTCGCTACTCGGAACGGGAGAGACCAGTTTCTTACAAAACGCGTGTTCTTTCCATTCTTTTTTTTTTTTTCTTTACCTTTCGCTACTCTTTTCGTTTCTTTTCCGTGGTTCTTCTCCGTTTTAAGAAGTCTGGCGCGGTGAATTCGACAGGCTCCTTAGTACTCGAGAAGAAAGAAGAAGAAATTCCGCTAGGCCAAGCGAAATCAAGCGCGCACAAACACATTCCTTTCTCTTCCTTTAGTTTATTTTTAAAACACACGATCGTGTTGAAAAGATCGTTCCTTTCAATTTTGCACATTTTCCCCTCGTTTCACGCTTTTCTGCTAGCCAACTTGCTCAGTTTGCGCCAACGATCTCTCCTATCCACGCGTCGAAGTCTCCCGAAATTCAATCCCTTTTCGATCGACATTAACGCGAAAATTATCGGATTTTTACCTCGACTTGTGGGTAAAATTAATTTGAAAATTGATATTTTCGTGAATGTTTCAACGTGTACCGACTTGGCGCAAACTGTTCCGTCGAAAAAGGAGAAAAGAAGAAAAACAACATACGCCGATACGTTCCTCTTCTCGCTATTTCAGCATCGATCATCTCAAGGTTTCTCCGTTTCTCTTTTCTTTCGTGTCTCTTCACGCGTAGACTCTTCTCCCGTGAAATTATCGCGACGACACTCGAAAGAGGAAACGACGGATCGTGACAAGATTAATTCCGCGCGTATCATTCAGTCGTGACAGAGAACGCAAGAGTTTCCGCTCGCGCTGGCAGTGTTTGTTTCCTCTAAGTCGAAGCTCGAAAAATGATCCTTCGTTCAATCCCTGCTGTCCTTCAAAATTAACAATATTTATACTCTAATCTCGTTATTCTACCTCGCTTCTCTTTTCTTCTTTTTGCACGCTAAATATATCTTCGAATTTACAATTCGTAAATATTACATCGAATCTGAGGTAGTTCGAGCAAAAATCTGATTTCGGCTAACTAACGTGCAATACAGCAGCAATTGAACGAAGAATATTGTCCAAGCGGAAAAGAAAGAAAGAATAACCTCGCGTTAATCCAGAGAAAAAATGGTGGACGAAGCTGAGTGTCGAGCAACAACCGCGAAATTCAAATTATCACATGACGACGATACGACGAGTATCGTTCTAATTATTAAAACTAACGAAATCTTAGAGCAACGATAATTATGCAATAATATTCCCTAACAACAATCGCTAATCGCGTTTCTAATAATATCAATAGAAATCTTAACTGGAATATTATCCGTAAAGCTTAAGGAAATATTTTCCGACACTTCTCCACCGTACACTAACAAGCGTTTCTTAATCCTCCGCGCTCGTTTAATACTCTCGCTGTTCACATTTTCAAAACAAAAGTGAGAAAACAGAAACAGAAATATATATTACGATTCGCACTTCCGAGCTGTAATTCTCCTCTCGCAACAAGTAGAAAAATAGAAAAAAAGAAACACGTATCGTACTTAAAACTAAAATAAAGATACGTAGATATTTCAATACCTCTTAAAAAATTACGCTCGAAATTTTCAACGCTGAATTTTCGCGAATTGGTAATCGATAAAATAAATCTTTCTAATCTACCAATGAAACTTAACAATAAAAAGATTCGTAACTCGTTTCCTCTCTCCCCTTGAAGAGAAGATAATTTCAACAAGATCGAAGATGAACGCAGAGGATGTTTAAAATTCGAAGGAAGCAGAAAAAATGATGGCAAGTTCGCGATACGGAGGAAGATCTGGTGCGACAGATCCATCGTTTCCGTTTCTCGATCGTCGTTAATATCCTATCGTTAGTTACTGTCTCGAGTAGATCGTTGCCTCCTTTCCTAAGTCGTCTTTTTTGTTTCTCTTTTTTTACAAGTCACAACATAGTTAATTGTGTGTGTACGTGTGTGTGTGTGTGATTAGCGATAGCAGCAGCGGTAGTAATGGTAGTAATAGTTGGTAGTAGTTTAATTAGTTAATAGTTAAATTGGTAATAGTAATAATAGCAGTAAGTAGTACCCTATGAAAAAAATACATAGAAAAACACGTGTCGGTATAATATATATTTTTATATATAACCTTCTTTTTATATCACGTTTTTTTGTTTTTCGCCTTTTCTGTATGCAATGCTTTTTTTTTTGTCCACGAGATACTTTATACAAGACAAATCGATTAAGGGAGGAGGAGGAGATGGTGGAGGAGGGGACGACAGGAAGTTAGAGAGGGAAGGGGAATTCTCGTGAAGAGTGAGGCTAGAAGGATGAAAGGGGGGATGAAAGGAGACGCAGGCGATAAACGCGTAGCTTTCGCGTCGACTAATCGAAAGTACGCGATTTTACGTTGCTGATTTCCTCCAAATTTTGTAGATAATTGAACGTTGCTTGTGTTAGTAGTGCATTGGAAGCGTAGAGCAGATTATAAATTCCAAGGAAAAAGACTTGTGTCGAAGATTTTCTAGCTTCACACATATATATATATATATATGTTAAATGAACGTTTGAAAGATAAGAAAGAATTGGCAGGGTGGCAACGTGCCAGACTGCTGTCCTTGAGGTCCGGAGTTCGAGACCTCGATAACCCTAAATTATTTTTCCGAGGTTTTTAATGTTGAATCGGTGTCAATTTTTCGCTCCTTTCAATTTTCTGATATCGATAGTCCGGGTACATTTAAAAATAATTAAGATAAATTAAAATGATTGCCAATACTTGTGAAAGAAAATAACGTGAGCGAATGGAGGCGTGAAAACAATTAACATCAATTTAAAGAAACAAATTCCCTACAATAAGAAAAACTGGTAAAAAATCATATACATATATGACAGATAGAAAAAAAATACCTACGCTTCTAATACATCACTATGAATACACCACACATACCGTGTACCTCTCAAAAACGTACAAAATTTGAATCGAACCAATGATTGAACGCAGACTTTGTAAATCAGTCGTTTTCGTCTCAAACAAAGAAGAAGAAAGAAGTATAAAAATGCATTTCGCGAAGAACAAATGGCTCCATCGATGATATATTCAGTTTCCTCGCGTTTCTCTCTCGGGCACACAATTTCTCGCTTTGTCCCATTTAATATCCTCTCTCTTCCCGCTCTTACTCTAATTCACTACGCTCGTCGTCGCACGTTCAACAGAAAACATTTCTCAAGGCAAATTGTTTTACGCTAAAAATAAAGAAGAAGAGAGAGAGAAACTCGATTTCCGGTGAGTTTCTGTCGTTGCCGATTCACATCCATTCCACCACGTGCCTTGAACTTCCGGCCATCGTTCAATAATAAAAAAAAATCCTCCAAGGTCGTCATAGTATAGTTTTACACAAGTACAAAATACAGCAAGAAGAAAAAAAAATATCCAGGCTGTGTGTGTACCACACGTGGTGGCAGGAGATATTACAAAAGAAATCTCGTTCTAGGAGCACGATTTCGACGAGAAACAATTCTGCAACCCGTAGATCATTTTTCTCAACGGAAGTCCGAGAGTGATCCTCCGCCCTCTCCTCTGCCCGAGTTCCCCTAATCTGGGCATACGAAATTTACCGATGTACACGTGTGTGCAGTGTACGTGCACGTACACATTGACCACACCGCAAAAAGTCTCGAAAGAATATGCGCAAAGCACACAACCGCGCCGCGGCGAACACAGATGCAAATGGACACGCACACAGAACGCAAGACACGATGAAATGAAACAAGTGTTTTCTCGCTGAACCGTTTTCCTCGCCGTTATATATATCACATTCTCTTATCCCATTTTTCATCACATAAAAATTCTCTCGTCCTTCTCTCTCCCTCCCCCGTTTACATTTTCAATCACAAGAGCCACGAAGAAGAGCGTGGAAGGGGGAGGGGAGAGAAAATAAACTCGCGGAGAGAAGATTCTACAACGTCAGCCTCTCTCTTTCTTCCTCACCCCACTCGCCGCTCGTTGGAAACGAAAAAATTCAGCAGAATCGGTACGAAAGAAACAACAAGAAAGAAGAGAGGCGTGACAGGGCTCGAGGAGAGAGGTAGTACTATTATTTAAACTCGTGAAAACGAGAAGCCTCGAAGCTGCGAATCTTCGCAATTACCCTCTCGTTTCTCCTTTACCAGCAACCGGTGTGTTTGTGTGTGTAAATTAATTTCGCGATTCTCGGGTGTATTTCATGAAACAAAGAAAAAAAAAAAACAAAAACGGTACACGAATTGTACAGTACGCTACCTCTGATCGATACACACACTGGGCCTAGCGTAATTAGCGTCTCTACGAAAAAAACACAACCGATTACCATTATGGAATTTTTCTTTACCTTTACAAATCATCGCTCTTCCTACGATATTCGTCCGATTTTTTCTCTCTCTCTCTCTCTCTCTCCCACAGACACAGGTCGGTAATCACATGCAAAATGTTCTCTCTTGTACAACCGTAGGAAAGGTAAACCGGGAGGACGATCGGTCTATCGCAAAGGATCTTCACTTCTACTGGGCCGTTTCTTCCAGTTCGCCTCGAAGGAGATCGGTTCGCGTGACTTCACTCTCGGCTGGAGATCGCTTTTTCTCGCGTGCACGACTTTCACTGTCCGGGACCCGTCGTCCGGCCTTCTTTGCCGATTTTGTCTATGTACAAATCGTGCTTGAATGGGTCAAAGGGTAATATAATCTACACGTTTTATACAAAGTCTCACGCTAAACGACACACTGGTCCCTGTCATCCAGATACACTTTCTTCACGAAGAAGAATCTGTTTTGCGGATACCAGGAACCAGTTAGTCGAGCTTTCAATATCCGGAGGAATGTTAGAGGCAAGAAAGATAATAATGATATCGACGAACATTCTCTCTGTGTGTACGTGTGTGTGTTTGTGTCGCGGCGGCGTTCGAGAAAAAAAACAACAACAACAAACAGGTCTGTCTCTGAGATCTAGATCGATTCCCGTATAATTACGAAATGTTGTCAGAATCGCAAAAATAAGGACAATAAGACTGTACAAAGATGAATATCATCATCGAAGTCGCGTACTGTACACTCGCCTTTTCACTATATACCCTAGGCATCCTACAAATTCGCAAAAGCGTCCTCCTTATACAGTCGATACACCGTGTGTGTGTACGTGTGTGTGTGTGTCGTTCTCTTTTTTCTTTTCATTTTTATTTTTCTCTCTTTTATTACTAAAAAAACCAGCGATCCTTCGTGGAAGGACTTGTTTTTTCCTTTTTTTTCTCTCTCTTATCTCGGTTTACAAACGTATATATAGTTTCTCTCGAGTTCGTACCGCATTGCACAACAAAATGCGGACGTCGCGATTGCACAAATTGAGTCACGGGAGCACAAAAAAATGTATCTGAGCTTCGAGTGGTGTGACTCTTCGGAAAAGAACTTCTCAGAGAAGCCATGATCATCAGACGACCTCTTCTTGGACACCGATCGTTTTTCACTTATTCGCAGCGTTTATCTTCTCAGCTCTAGCAAATATCTTCTTCGAAGACGATCCTCCGAGTTTCTGTCTTCTTCTTTGTCTCCATCTTCGGTTGATCTCATTCTAGTCGACACAGTTTGGATTCGAGCTCTGAAAGACCCTCCGATAAGAAAATTTCTCGCGAAGAAGGAAGAGCAGGTCCGTCGGTTGATTTACAGTTGTTTCGTCGAGTGTAACGTTGGGAGGATAGTTAGAAGACACCTGTTGTCCAGATGAACGTCGACGAAGTTGTCGGAGAAAGAAGAAGACGAAGAAGACGAAGAAGACGACGAAGACGAAGAGAAGAAGTCCGCTATTGCTGATTCATTTCTGCTGAACGCTTGTCAGCCTGCCCAACAGGATGGGTGGGGCCATTGCAATGGCGCTTCCAAAACAAAAGACACACAAAACACCGACATTAGCGCGCTACCGTGCTCTCTCTCTCTTTCTCTCTCGCTCTCTCTCTCTCTCTCTATCTATCTTTCTCTCATTCCTATCAACACCATGACAGAAAATGTCTCTCTAGCCGCTCTGTCTCTCCCCGTCTCTCCCTCTTGCCCTCGCTCTCTCCCTCCTTCAATCCCTGATTCCTTCTCTGCACACTTTAGTACATCCCACAAGGAATCACTTTGCAGCTCCGTTTTGTCGCTCTTCACTCTCTTGCCTTCTGAGCATTCGTTTTTCTTAATCATACGTATACACACGTGTCGCGTAATTAAGAGTAGCTTCCTCCGCTTCGTCACTTGAGAAGGAAGTGTTTTTCTTTGAAATTCTTTGTTCGTCCACACTGTGCTGAGAGATGAAAGGTGAACGAGTTCGAGACTAGTAGTTTTTCGAAAGAAGGAGATTTAACTTTTCGAGAGAGAGAGGGAGAGACAGAGAAGCAACAATCACGCGGGTGTAATACACGTATGTGTTAAGAGAGAGACGCAGGCGACTGTGGCAAGGATGAAAGGCTGGAAGAAGCAAGAGAGAGAGGAGAAGCTAGAGAGAAACTTTTCGTTGTCTCTTCTTTCCTTTCGCGACAGGGAATTAACGAGAGAGAGATCAAAGAAAGAGAAAGAGAGAGAGAGAGAGAGAGAGAAGGATCGATATAGCAAGGTTAACGCGCTTTTCTTAGATCTTTTTCCTCTCTTATTTTGCTCGTTTCTTTTTTTCTTTTTTGCATGTATTTTTTGCTTTTTTCGCCCCCTCTTTGCCTACTTTTGCGATTTAGAATTAGTGTCTTAGCTTTCGGTTACCTGAAAAAAAGTCAACGAAAGAACATAAAGCGGAATTCCAGTGAATCTCGATGCCGAATTAATTTTTTTTTGTTTTTCTTGGGAGAGGAGAGGATTCTTTTTTTGGTTCTTTTTCTACGATTTGTTATATGGTGTTGTGACAGAGGTAATAATACTTCGTGTGTGTGTGTGTGTGTTATCTTCGTCTCGCGAGAAAGATACTCAGAGAGAGAGAAAGAGTGGAAGAGAAGGGAAAGAACGGAAATGAGAGAACTGGTGAGAGAAACGTGCATGCGTGCATGCACAATCCTTGAATGCCCATTAAAATATCATGGCTACCCAATGCGTGAGAGTTTGGAATTTTCTTCTCACGTGCGCAACGTTTGAAGCACTAGTCATTACGAATGTTTTTGCTTTCAGGATTCTAGACTCTGTCGATCCTCGAGTTTTAATGAGTTACATTTTTTAACACTGTTGCAATTATTTATAATATTGGAGAAACATCCTTCTCTTTTGAAAACCTGTGTGTCTCTAATAATTTAGTCTTTCGTTGAATTCTTATTGATTTGGTGCCTTCGCTCACAAATTTCAATATTTATTTAGAAAAAAATCGAATAAAATTTTAATATTCAAAATAAGTCCCACTATTTTCCAATTTTGACGAATATTTCTAATTTTGTGGAATTTTGACGAATTCCTCTTTGAAAAATTAAGGCAACTTTGAATAATCCACGAAATCGTCAAGATTTTCTCGGAAAAAGGCACTGAATTAATTTGATCAGCTAACAAGCGTAAGTTGTATAATGGAGCATGTAATTAGAAGCGATTAATTCTTAGAATTTCAGCACGGTTCTCGAATGATATTATTTTTTTTTTTTTTTGAATCCAATCGACGAGCTTTATATTTAATAACAGTAAAGAGAAGACTATTGTTACAACGAGACACTAAAGACGATAACACCGTCTTCTGTTTATCGTTACCGTGCGGGCTATCTATTGAGCCCGTGTATGAAAAGCATCAGTTAAGGGTTCAACGAGTTTATTGGTTGAATTGCTCTTTAACAAGATGCCCACTGAGTTTTGAATGCCACTTGTCACCGTTGTGTAAAGATAAAAATTACCAATTAACTCACTATTTCGCCAGAGGAATTACGTCCTTTCAATCAGCTTGATATTGTTCAAGACACCCTCTGATATTAAGGGAAATTCAGGGCAATAAACTTGTCACTTTGCGTTGCTATTTACTGCAGAAGGTGTTACAGAGTAAATTGACTACGTTCAACTTCAAATTTTCAATGATTACTTTTGCAAAATTTGATCTTTTAAATTTGTATTCTCAGAGAATAAGATTTAAGCTGGAGATGACACAAAATAGGAAGTTTTCAGAGATTATTTCCTGGAAACTCCATCTTAACAAATTCCCAGTTTCAGAGATTAAAGAATTTAAGTTCAGAATGTCACAAAATAGAAAATTTCAAGAATTCACAGAATGACTTATTGAATCTACAGTTTTAAGAATTTTCCAAATTTAAATTTTCCAGAGATTATTTTCCAAGAATTCCATCTCAACAAATTTCCATTTTCAGAGAGTAAAAAATTTAAGTTTGAGATGTCCCAAAATAGAAAATTGCCAGAGATTATTTTCCAAGAATTCCATCTCAACAAATTTCCATTTTCAGAGATTAAAAAATTTAAGTTTGAGATGTCCCAAAATAGAAAATTGCCAGAGATTATTTTCCAAGAATTCCATCTCAACAAATTTCCATTTTCAGAGATTAAAAAATTTAAGTTTGAGATGTCCCAAAATAGAAAATTGCCAGAGATTATTTTCCAAGAATTCCATCTGAACAAATTTCCATTTTCAGAGATTAAAAAATTTAAGTTTGACATGTCTCAAAATAGAAAATTTCAAGAATTTAAAACTGCCAGAGATTACTTCCTAAAAACAAACAAATTTCCATTTTCAGAGATGAAAAGACTGGAGTTTAAAATGTCACCAAATAGAAAATTTCAAGAATTCCCAGAACGTCTTCCATAATCCAAAATTTTCAGTGTCCACCTTCCAAAATTTCCACTCTCATATATTAACAAATCAAAGTTCATTTAGTCCCACGACTGAAGTTCTCCACTTGCTTTCTCCCATAAATCAAATTAACTCCAATAATACCATCTACTTAATCCATTACTCCCATCAATAATCAACGATCAACAGAGACTAATAACACACCAGAAGAAAACAAGAATCAATCTTCTTCAATTTAAATCTCCAGCAAAAAAAAACAACCCCCAAAAAATCAACGTTCCACGAATAAACGTCGCGAATGGAGAAGTTACGTTAAAACGCGTGGAAACGATAAAGTGGAGTAACCAGTTGCCAGGCAGAGTTTCGTAATCGTTCCACAACCAGTCTTCCCTCTCTTTTTCGTTACGCTCCTATTCGCAACACACGTGCTGCTGAATATCTCGAAAGCTGAACACAACGCGAAAGTGTTTTCGCAACACGCTCGTGTTCTTTTCTCTTTCTTCTCTTTTTTTTTTTCATCTTCCACACTCTCAGGTGAACATCGAGCATACCACAACCATGATCCACGTGAACGATGCACGCGATTCCTCCTCAGTCAAGATCTCGTTCTTCAAGATCGTTCACCGGGGCACATCGAACGTTATGTGAAGGACGTATATAACAGAAAAAAGGAAGATCGATTTGTTTCGACTAGAAATTATTGTATCGTTGCATCGTACACGTTTGGTATCATTCAGGATTCACGTAGCTATTTATATACGTGATAGAAGAGACAGTGCAGATATGAAAAATTTGTAACAGAGGTTAAACCGATACTCCACGAGCATAGAAAGGATACAGAAGTCGAGTATTTGTCGAGTTCGGTTTTCAAGGTGAAATAAAATGAAAAGATGGTAATAACAGTAGTACAGAGAGACGCATAGTTTGAAATTGTGACGTAAGGAAAAGACCATCCCAGTGCACCCCGGTAATGTAGCAGGCAAGTAGATCTTAACGTTGCATTTGGAAAGAATCTTCGCTTTGTTACTGAGAAAATTGGAAGAAATATTCTGGAGGAGATTTCCGTGTTTTCCTTGGGAAAATTTAAGAGACGGTTCACGATGCACCTGTAAAAGTTTAATAATTGAATATTCAAATTATGATATAGTGAGAATAAAAATTTGAGAAATAAAAGTAAACAATTTCTTTTGCTTTCCTTGGGAAAATTTCAGAGACGGTTCGCGATGCATCTGTGAAAGTATTCGAAAATTGAAATCTAGTGAAAATAAAAATTTAAGAAATAAATGTAAACAATTTTTCAGTTTTTGCTTTAAATTGAAATTCTGGAGGAGATATATGCGTTCTCCTCTGGGAAATTTAAGAGACGGTTCGCGATGCACCTGTGAAACTTCCAAAATTGAAAATTCAAATTACGATCTATCAAAAATCTGAGAAATAAAAGTAAATAATTTTTCACTCTTTTCTTTAAATTGAAAGTCTCGAGGAGATTTCTGTTTTCCTTCGAAAAATTTAAGAGACGATTCACGATGCATCGGTGAAACTTTAATAAATGAAAATTCAAATTGCAATCTAACGAAAATAAAAATTTGAGAAATATTAGTAAATTTTTTCTTTTTCCCTTTATATTGAAAATTTTCCTTCAAAAAACACACGAGACAATTCACGAACCATTTGGAAAATGTCAATAATCGAAAACTCCACCGTTAACCAAAAATTCTTTCCAAACGTGAGAAAAGTGCACTCCCTCTCCTCTCTCAATTTCTCCCCGGATCTCCGTTGATCGAGGGAGAGCCATGCCACGGTATCAAGACACCAATCTACCAAAAAAGTGACCTGCCAAATTAGAGCTCAATGCAACTAACACTGACACATCCATCATCGAGATCTATTTCGCAAGCAAAAAAGGATATACTGTGTAATGTATCATAATCTCTCTATAACAGCGAATCACAGTTCGATCGAAAAACCACGTTCTAAAACGCAACCACCCCGTTACCTCGAACATACTATATTCTCTATTTTGTACATTTATCATTATTATTTTATCTCTGTTTTTCGATCATTTCACGATCACACTCGGTTTTCTATTCGATGATGTGAGAAGCATAAAACGAAACGAAAAGTGACGAATGTGCAAGCTAAAAATGATACAAAAGAACAAGGACATACACGTAGGTGTGTGTGTGTGGGTGAGAATGTGTGTGGACACTTTGAGAGATAGTCTTTTCTTCTTTTTTCCCCAACGATATTCGACTGATAGAAAAATACAGGTGGAACACAACGTGAAGAATCGCGCGACATGACACAAGAAAAAAAATGAAGAAACTTCGAGGCTTTTGGATCTTTAAGAGATCTTGTTGCAGTTTCACTTGCGATAAGATGTTTGCCCGTACTGTGTGTGCAACGTTCCATGCAATCTCTAAATGGCAGCACCAAGTGTAACAAGCTCAGATTAATCTGTACAAGTGTACCGAAACCAGACAATTTGTAATAGATAATTAACTATCTTCAACCTTTGACAATACTTGTCAACCATTTTTTTTTTTTTTTCAACCAGTCACACTTTAAGCAATGTTTCATTAGGTCGTTGCATATGAAATGGTGGATTTGTGAAGGAGACTTTGAAACATAACCTAGAAAAACTTAACCTAACTATGATAACACAGTCAAAAATATAGAATGCACCTTGAATATAGTCAAGAAGTTAATTTTATTAATCAAAATAAGCATTTCTGACAACAAATTGCAAAGTAGATTTAGTCTACTTTTATAAAAACTTGAATACTGGTGATAAATTTCTCAAATGGATCTTTAATTGCTGAATACTTTTTTGTTAAAGGATTATTTAAATGTTTAAATTCTGTGCTACTATGTTCTACTATCTCTAATGCACTGTGCCTCAATTTTAATTCATAGAAGAAACTCACTGGAATTTGATTAGAATCATTTTCTACTTGTAACATAACCTAAACTTAACCTCTTTGATAAATCTTGCATTTAAAACAGTAGAGCATAAGTTTCCCATTTCCATAAAGAAATTTCATATGCAACGAGGTAATAAAAATGAAATGTTCTATCGTTCCATTGCAAATTCAAACAATCAGCAATATATCCAATAATAATTGCAAAGAAATTATCTGAAAAAACGTGACACATTTCACTGAGTATTTAAAATGTAAAGTGTGAAGGGTTATAGGTTTTTTTTCTACGAAATCGATCGGAAGTTGAAACAAATAAAAAAAAAAAAAAAGACAAACAAAAAAGAACCGAATGTTAATTGTCGTACAGAAAAGCTCCGTTGGACAAGACAGCAGAACATTAGGCTCGTGTACGCGACACGATCGGTATAATTACGTTAGGACCGGTTACGAGAGAGAGAGACTACTACGGACAGTTAAAAAGACCACTCCCCCTAAATGCTAGCAGAGCGAGTTATACTTAGGTGCTTTTCTGCGATGACGTTTTTGCCGTGATATAGCAACTCACTTGGTCTTCGGTTGCATCTCTCCTGCAGCCGCATCCCTACGGTGCAACCTCATGCTGACCCTTCGTTCTTGGCCACCCGCACCTGATGCTGAAAGAGATCAATCAGAAAACAAACAATGCATCAATACTCAACTTCTTTTTATCTTCTGTCGCGTGAAAATTAATTAAGTAATTTGTGAAGAATTCTTTGATACAGGGTGTTTGAAAGGAAATTTGTACAGTTGTATCATTTGTGAAAGAATGAACTGTAATTGTATTGTGTTGCAGAAGAAAATTGTAATGGTATTCTTTGTGCGATACAAGAAAATTCTAATTGTACCCTTTGTAAAATAAAATTCCAATTGTATCCTTTGCAAAATAAAATCCCAATTGAATCCTTTAGAAAGGAGAAGGAAATTCCAATTATATCCTTTGCAAAAGAAAAGAAAATGATAATTGTATCCTTTGCAAAAGAAAAGAAAATTTCAATTACATCCTTTGCAAAATAAAATTCCAATATCTTTTCCAAAAGAAAGTTCTAATTATATCCTTTGCAAAATAAAATCCCAATTATATCCTCTGTAAAAGAAAAGAAAATTCCAATAGTATCCTTTGCAGAAGAAAAGAAAATTCTAATAATATCTTTTGCAAAAGAAAAGAAAATTTCAATAATATCCTTTGCAAAATAAAATCCCAATTACATTCTTTCCAAAAGAAAAGAAAATTCCAAGAATGCACTGTCAACAACATAGTCCACAACAGTGAAGACTCTTTGAATACAAAATACACTTATTATCAGCCACCTCAATAAAAAATATTAAACACTTCTTTTGAAACACCCTGTACAAGTCAGAACACTGTCTCCTTGTGCATACAGAGGTCGACAGATTATTCATTGGCTCATTGATTCGACTTGCAGGTGAATGTGATAACTATAAATTGATCTCGTGACGCCATAGCTTGTATATTTTAATTGAATCTATTCAGTGTGTTAAAGCGGAGTGTTTCTGGCGCATGCAAGTCCCTGGACATTTAACTTTCGATTATGCTACATGTATGTGTATACGTGTTTATACGTGTCTCTGATTGAGAAATGTTAGAAATACAGTTGAATTTGAAACATTAATTAATTCTCCAAGTCAGAATGAAAGTGTACTTAACAATGCTTTGATTAGAATTGTTTGAACAACTGGAAAAGGTTCGTGAATCCTTGTACAAACATAATTACGGTCATGCACAGCGTGACTCTCTCCGTTGAGAAATCAAAGACAAAGAACAACACACGCATTACAAAAGCACACGTCTTAAATGACTATAGCACGCATGTTATACCTACCATACGCGAATCTTGCGTCACGGAACGAGACAAGTTTCTAGTACGCCAAGAAACCATGACGAATACAGTTCAAGGAACCGTTTTCTATTCACATCTAATCAAATTATAACAAATATCCTAGATATGTACAAAGAGATTTACAATGAAAGTGAAAACGTATTCTCTATCGTGACGATTCGTTGAACTGTATCGATCGTTTCAGTAAGATTGTCGAATTCAGATTGGAAACAATAATAATTATAAGCTGGCGCAGATTGATCGAGGAAAAGAAAATCGATTATCACGAGTCGTTGAGTCGGCGCAGTAAATCATCGTGTTGAATCTTCTTCGCTCGTACAAATTTTCTTTCTTCGTTCGAGCAAATACAAATGAGCAGGTCGAGATGAATTCGATCGTGCAAAAATAAAAAAAAGAATTCAATACGTTTCACTTCGCTTGGCAATTGAAATGGAAAAATTGTTCTCGATCGACAAAAAAAAAAAAATAAACGATAAAAAAAATACGTGCGCTGACGATAGCAAGAAATACGTGAAAAAATGCGCTGCGCCTTCGTGAAGACAGATGATGCGATAGTATCGACGAAATAATAAAAGAGAGAGAGAGAGAGAGAGAGAGAGAGAGAGAGAGAAGGAATCGCGAGTGGACATTTATTCGTGAAAACGAAAATTCTAAGATTTATTTTAATTTTTTTTGGTTTTTCCATTCAAGCCAAGTGAGAAGAAAATTTTGACGAGGATCGATCGACAATGTCGTGTGGTGAAATAAATAAAGAGACCAGTCCTTGAATGGAAAAACATTTATTTGCTACTTTCTCTTCATCATCATCATCATCATCATCACCATCGTCACTATCAATTAAAAAACAGAATGATTACAAATAGATGCGCAAAAATTGAAAACGAAGACTGCTAATGGTAGTTAGGAAGAGGAAGATGTAACAGAAGAAATATTGTGAGTGAAATAGAAATATAATGCGTAGAAAAAGAGAAAAGAAGAAAAAAAGATCAAAACAAGGGGAACAAACAAAGGTAACACGACGAAAATACTCGGTATCCAGCGGTTCTATTTTCTTTCTGCGTTTTTTTTCGTTGCTTGCGGAAGAAGTACAACGTTCTAAGACCTTTTTTTTTTTTTTTTGCGAGCGAGAAAGAAGCCCTCGAGAGACTGCGCATTCACGCGGTTAGAGGAAGTAGAAAAACTGTGTAGCATCTCTATCTAAGCTTTGGTAACCTTTATATGACCTCGAGGGATTTCTTCTCGTCGGATCGAGGATCGATCACCGCGAACGAACGAGGCTATCGTTCACTTGTCTGTGAACAGAGGATCGTATGAGAGGTTTAGATGCGAAGATGAATATGCATATGTACAGGGTGAGTCACGTAAAACGAACCATTTAATTAGCTTCTTCGATCACGGTGATACGAGAAACTCTTCATACGCAATATAAATAGTTTCAACGAATTTCAATGCTATTTCTGTTATTCTTTTCTCAAGGTCACCTACGTATTTTTTACATAAATGTATATATTTTTTGTAGTGCATGTTGAGAAAATAGCAGACGTTAAAATGAGCTTGGATTCTGAAATTTTAAATTAAATATGAAACTCCTTTTCATTTTTCTGAAATTTCTTCCATTTTGTTTATCCCTTGAAACCTTTCGAGTTACGTGTAAAAGTTTCCTCGTACCAACATACCTAGAGAAAATAATTAGGTTGGCAACCCTGTGTATCGTTATATACTGTTGAAGAAATAATGCAATTTCGATAGGGATTATTGCAAAAGTTACTGAAATCGTGAATGAGATGAAAGAGCAATCTTCATTTTTGCAACAACCCTGTGATTTAAAAAAAAAAATGATTCGATGTGATTCAAGAATAAAGGAATTTTGTTCCGTAACGTCTAATACTCTCATGAAAACGATCCTTGCTCCTTCCGTCCCGCTGGAATCCTAAGAACACGCTTCACTAACTCTTTGAGGAGTTGGAAAATTCCAAATAAATCGAATTCTCCTTTATCGTTGCTTCAAAGAGTCAACACGTTCGCTGCTACGAAAAGATTTCCAATCGCAATTATTACGAACTTCCTTTAATCATCGAGAGAGTTAAATTTTTTTGTTTCTTGGAAAAAGCAGCGAACGAGAGCGTCGAAGATAAAAAAAAAAGCGCTAGGATCGATTACAATGTTCGATAATTGTCGCGGTGAAACAATCAAGTGGGAGTGAGGACGAGGGAAGGGATGTCAACGATTAAATAAACGAACATGACAATATCTGGTAAAGCTATCCTATCGATTACGATGCGAGAGTTCGGTGCGAGAAAAATACTTTCAGCCTCAGAGTTCACGTTGACGCTTGAATCGCACAACACAGCACTTTTCCTCAATTATTCTTTCACGTTTTCTTCCCGTTTATAAAATTAATAATATAATAAAGTGTATCACACTCGCGATAGAGACAACGATGATTCAGAATCTTCTACAAAAAAAAAATGCATGAACACGTGAACTCTGAGTCTCGAATGATAAATCGATAAACGATGATAAAAACACGAATGTGCTGTGCGTTTTCGAGATTTCTCTCTATAAGACAGCGACGTTATCGATGCATTGTTAATGATTCGAAAGAAAAAAACAAGATGAACAAATACACGATGCCTTATAAAACTATGCTCTCGACGATATAAAAATTACGTTTAAAAAAAAAAAGAAGATTCCTGTTTGTGGACGAAAGCGTTTCTTTTGTGCGACGGAAGCTTTTTTATAATGTGTTTAGATACCTTCCGTGTGCGTTCGAGACAATAATTATTCTCTTACCACGCTCTGAACGCAATATCCAACATTCGTACTTTCTTTTTTTCTCGGTTTATAAATGAATTTCAACCATAAAACGATGATTATCGTTTTACGTTGATAGACACCACGTATCGAGAGAGAGAATATTTTATTCACGAAACACGCGAATATATAACCTCGCACGATAAATATGTAAAAATGTTACGTATTCGGCACGTATCTCGGATTAAAGGAGAAGTGAACATCACACATACGCCGCGACACGCGAGTTGTATTTGGTAATATTGCGTAACACGATTATATGAAAATATATAGACCTGTATGAATGCGTGTCTCGTTAGCCAAACTGTTCTTCTTTTCCCTCCGTGAATCTCACGGATTACGAGGTATGCTTGATGAAAGAGATATAATCAAGTCGTAAATCTTCACAAATTAGGCGAAAACATCGATTCATCTAGTACTACGTCTTACAAGGAGCCCCCCCAAAATTTCAAGATGTACGCAGCGAGAAAAAGTCGCGTACCCTTGGACAGCCAACGCTCCTAGCGGCGAAACAACGGCTGTGATTGGATCAGTATAGACCCGCATCTACACGCAGAGATGAGAATATGACTACAGAGACAAAACAGGGGTAAGAGGGGGTAACTTCGCTTGCAACGCCCGACTTTCTCGTCACTCAATTTTAAAACATCCGATTCGTCGATGTTTTCACATCGGTCAATAATGACAATACATGTGCCCCATTTTTACGATTGTGTTAAAAAACATGGACCTATTCGGGATACGATTCAATCAGACCTGCATTCCTTGAGCTAACCAAATTCTCATTTCTGCGTAGTATTCTTTTTTTTTGGTTTTCATCAAGTTTTTAAATATACTGTGTAAAGGGGAAAACCGTTGTCGATTTGAATTTTCGTGCGACCCTGAACATGTCTCGAGCTCCATATCTCACCCAACTGATGTTTTGGCGATCGGATTTCATGTTCTTTCACGCCTGTCTGATTTTACGACCTCGCTATAGCTCTTCCACCGAGTATACATCGAAAAAAGCTCGATCGACCGTGTGTACGTTGTTATGCCATCCGCATGGATTTATTTATCTTGGTTCCCTTACGTTTAGTCAGTCGTTAGTTGTAAAGGCGTTTTTAAAAGGCGTTTTTTTTTCTTTTTTATCAGTATAAAACGTGTAAAAATGGGACTGTGATGGAGTCGAGGTTTCTTTGCTTTTCGTAAAAAAAAAAAAAAACCCTATCTAATGAGACGCTTAACCTCGTCACTGAACATTTTCATTGAAAATCGTTCAACAGGTGAGGAAAATATTTATCGATTACTACGGTGGGATAATTTGTGATTTACGGACGATTACAAATATCGGAGAAAATACTGAGCTTTTCCAAAAAAAGAGATTCAAAAATGGCAGTGATACGGTAAAAATAGCTTATTCGTATAATTGAAATACGATATATTAAAAATAGTTGTAGAGATCGAAAAATTGATCTTTCATTTCCCTAAGTGTTCTAATTTATGTAAAAAAACGAATGAAGATGCGTGAAACGAGTGTGTGTACACGGTTTGTTGAAAGTTCGGAGAATTAGGAAATAGGATACCTTGAAACAGGTTCCCTACGACACAACCAGACGAGTGTAAAGTAATTCGTGTAATAATGTTTCCAGGTCATGGGAAAAGATGGAGTTAAGCCTAAACCTAAACAATAGAAGCAGTATTGGTGCAACGACGGATTCGGTAATATTTGCCCATTGTGACGCTCGTGTCATAATTCTCGCCTGTCTTAAGTGAAGTCAGAAACGAAGATTAAGGGGCCTTGTCGGCCCTGACACGGTCACCAGAGTGTGGAAAATTCTTGGCATAACAACATACGGAAAATATTAATGACAATGGATTGCTCAGTGCGTGATGCAGATTCTTGTATAAATATAAATCGCGTACAGAAGAAGGAAACTCTTAGATGCATATGCAGAGAAAAATATCGAATAGTATACCCTTCAAAATACCAAGGGTACCGTGTAATATACCATAGCCTACAGACTCATTTGAATGGGTACCATGACTCAAAGCATCCAAATTTGCTATAGTCACTACCCAATCTACGAATTGTTCTTTCTTTTCTGAACCAATCACTTCTTGTAACTTTCGTGTGATATCATTTTCAGTGATCAATGGTGGTTTCTCTCTATCGTTTTCATTTTGCGATATTTCATTGGTACTTTTATCAGGTAATTCATTCTCCCCATCCACCATACGAAGCGTAACATCTTCCAGTAAAAGTGCAACCTCTTTCTGATCCTTCTGATCATTTGGTATTAACTCATCTTTATTGGTATCGTTGTCTGGCTTAGAGAAAAAATAGAGATTAGCCTCAGCTTGAGGACGACCGACAGGTAAATTAGCACGATCAAGGAAATCGTTCTTATGGAGTCTCTGCAAAAAATACTCGCACTTCTCACGACCGCTCGGTGGCCGTTCGTATTTATTTCGTTGTTTGATTCTGCGCTGCATGAGTAAAAAATGCCAGCTTCTTCGAACACGCTGAAAGAAATTCGGCCGCTTTCGTGCCTTGTTCGCGGACGAATCCATGGACTGTGACTGTTGGTTTTTTGACTTTTGAGAAGAGTCCAGGCTTCTTTGTTTCCCGTGAAAAAACCCTACCGGTCGTTCATCTGACAATAAATGAAGACTCTTGCCATCCATCGCGGACAAGTCTATGCTTCTCTCCAACGACTCCATGCTTCTGTGATTTTTCTCTTTGTTGTTGAAAGAAAAGTTTCTTTTCTTCTTCGAGGCCGCTTCTTGCAGTAATTCGCTACTGCTTATCTTGAAGATTTCGCCTTCTTTCTCGAGAAATTCCACGTTTCCCGAATCACGACGAGCATCGTGACCAGAAGCATGATGTCGACCACCGAGTGTAGAACCTTTCTGTTTCTTGTCGTCGTGATCAGCTCCACCTTTGTCTTTCTCCAAGCCACCGAAACAATTCAACGAACCACCAGATGCAGCTACATCGTCCACGTAGTCGATCTTTTTCTCGTCGAGGGCAGGACGATCGAACATCATCACCTCGCAATCTATGTCTTTCTCTGTTTTATACGATTGAAAAAAATAACTCTGCTTATCTGGCTGGCGAAACGACGCATTCGGACTAATATCTGGCAGTCTGTTCGCTGAATAATCGCGAGACGTGCTACAGTTCAGGTCTGCACGATTCGAAGTAGGTTCACGAGGTCCTAGATTAATGCCAGCTATGTCCAGAGACCCAATTTCTGGCGCAGTTCTAACCGGTGACGATTTAAACGTACTGAATTGACAAGGATTCGCGCGCGGCGTCTCGTTTCCAGCCGGCTGCGAATGTCCGACTAGGAGCTGTGTTTTTCGCTCAGTTATAGCCTGCTGTTGGCCAGAACATAATTTTGGGTAGAACTGTGGTTTACCTTGAAGATCGCTCTTGTCCTGATTGTCCTGATCGCGAAGTGCTTCCATCGCCTCGCGTTTCTGCCGCATGCTTCTCAAATTTGTCGTCGTGGTCGTTCCGCCGACGGTCGGGCCCACCGTTCCCATTGATATGTTTGCCATACACTGCCGTGTATAGGGCCTGTAAAAAGGAACATGCTTATAATAACAAGAATCTTGAATGGAACAAAATATTCGAGAGATTATTAATATTTCAAAGTTGTCTGAGCGAATGACTCGATTGTAACAATGAAAAAAAAAAAAACAAAAAAAAAAGGAGAAAGGTAAGCGTTGAAGAGGAGAATTTTGGTTGTATTTGGTTATTCGTATCGTTAAACACGACTATTTCCCGATTCATTGACCCAGCCACCAAGAATAGCGCACGCTGGGTAATGAAATGACCATGCTATTTATACGCATGAAAAGGCGGCATGGTGGAGTTGCGATTGCTAGTATTTTCACGTCTGATTTCGCGTACAAAGAATTTGACGGTTCATTCGTGATTATCTCTCTTGTTCATCCTAACACACCAACCTAGATCGATGTTCTTGATCGTTATTGGTCCCAGAGGGCAGCGCCGCGTTCGTGTGTTGCGACTGCATCGGTGTTTGCTGCGTCGAGGACAACGTCTGTTGCCTGACGTTACCGAATTTCAACATATTCCAGTCGAAGACGTAATCGTAGGTGAAGCCCTGTCCGTGGAACAGCGTCCGGAAGAGTTGCCGTAGGTACGAATAGTCTGGCCTTTCCTCGAATCGTAGTCCTCGACAATACCTTAGGTATGATGCAAACTCTACTACAATGACAAAAGTTTTAATTGAATAGAAAATTACGATACAGACTCTAATAAACATTTGTACAATGATATAGAGGTTTATGGTTTATGATAAGAGGAAATTTACCAGGATAACCCTTGCACAATTCTTCGACAGGTGTGGACATTTTCTTTTCCGAGATACGTTCGTACTTTTGTCTTTTAGTTGCCGCTTTCAAGCCCTGCCAGGGTAAGCTACCTCTGTTGAAGTACATAAGAACGTACCCTAAGGATTCGAGGTCGTCTCGCCGTGATTGTTCAATTCCCAAATGTGTATTAATGCTTGCGTATCTATTGAAGTATAAATTTATGTGTTTTTAAGTTGTTAGAAATATGAAAGGGTTAAATAAAACGATATATCTCAATAGACAAACCTGGCTGTTCCTGTTAGGTTCTTGTTTTCTCGATAAGGTATGTGTTTGTGAGTACGGCCATCGCGGTACTTTTTAGCCAACCCGAAATCTATAATGTATACGAGATTTCCCTTCTTTCCCAAGCCCATCAAGAAATTATCTGGTTTGATGTCTCGATGGATAAAATTGCGACTATGTATATAATCCGTTCTACTTATCTGTGGGAATCAGAATACAGAAAGTGCGATTTTTTTTAATTGCTTTGATAATTTAGATTATATGTAAAAAGTGGGATGCACGAGAATGTTGTAATATGATATAAAAACAAAGCATAATTGAAGAAAGAAAGAGAAAGAAGTCATGCATTAAGCAGATTTTTGTGGTCATTGAACACGTATACAATATAGAACAAGTGAGATTAAACCAAGGAGGGACATTATTTATTAAAACGTCATGATTAACAGATAATAAATATTCAGCAGAAAGAAAAATCTTTGTTTGGGGATACACATGTTGTCCTCTAAGTTTCTGCTATATTTAGACCAATACCCGAAATAGTTCTTTGTTCAAAACATTTTCTTTGCAAGCAAAGCTTTTGTGCACTAGCCTTAGTCCCCTTTAAAACACTGTTTTTGTTGAGATCAGAAAGCTTTGTTATCAGCCGACATGGTTATTAGTTGATAAGAATGTAACTTATATTGTAATTTATTTCAGTAACAGAAAACAGAATAACAAATACTTGCACACAGTTGCAATGTGAACTTTGAACATTAACAACATATGACTTGTAATTACAATGATACCACAGAAATGAACAGAATCAATGATATTCTTTAAGCAGGACAAGATAAAATTACATGTGTAATCTTTTATTTTCCATTAAAGGATGAACCAATTTAATTGTTTCAGGACAAGCAACGAAAACCACAAAGATAATTACATAAGAAATAACATCTTATCATTAACAAATACTGAAATTATTTACATAAAATATGTGTTATATTGTTACCTCAGAAAATAACAGAAAGTAGTTAGAATGATGATGAATATTATGCAAAGAATCTAATACACTTCCTTTATAAAGAACTGCATACATTTTAACATGAATAAAAAATTATTATTTACCAACTGATCGGCGAGAAGCAAGACTGTTTTCAAGGAAAATCTTCTTGAACAGAAGTTAAATAGATCCTCCAAGGATGGACCAAGTAGCTCCATTACCATTACATTGTAGTCACCTTCTGAGCCACACCATTTTATAGTTGGTATACCAACTGAAATGTTACAAGTATTTTTTGACAATGGTGTAGGGTAAACCTAGACTGCATTAAAGTCTAAAAACAAACCGGAAATTAATATTGTCCTAACGGTAAATATGTTCGTAATAACAATAATACAGTATTTATTTAGTTATAATTTATTACCGTACCAACAATAACAACGATTTTAAAAAATATATTTAAAAACACGAAACGTATTACAAAAATCATAATTGCAACACCTGCATAGTTTAATTTCTAAAATCGATCGACAAAAGTATCCATTATTATCGATTCTCCAACAAACGAAAATAACGTAAACAATTTAACGAAACTGCGTAATAACATCGTATTTGTATACTTATCGCCATAAGTTTGGAAAATATGAAGGTTAATGTACACAAATATTGCATGCTGAAATAATTCAGCTCATAAAGTTCAAACATAAATATGTAAACGTTGAAACGGTAAAGTTCCTTATTGTCACAAAGAACAGTGAATGAGGGAGGGGAAGAAAGGAGCAACATAGGGAATGGAGAGGGGAGAGAGAGAGAAAGAGAGAGAGAGAGGGAGGGAGAGAAGGTTCAGTGGCCAGACCAACCAGCTGTCCAACAAACAAAATTCTGACAGTTCCCGAGCGACGGTGTAAGTTTCAAAATGCTCGATCATGTTTGAAACCGATCGGGGATCGAACAACCAACGAAAATCTACTTACCACCACCTTGCATCATCCTGTAGAACTTTGATTCTATGTGTAACTGCGGATGCCGCGTTTTTATACATTCTAGCTTGATGGCGACTTCCTCGCCGGTGGAGATATTGGTACCTAAAAACGACAAAAAAAAAGCCAAACAGGCCCACGGTCACGCAGTTGTTAGAAGAGTTTAAAAAAAAAAAAAAAATAATGAAAGCAGTGTATGTGCACGGGGGAGTTGGCGCGTTCATGCGTGTCATAGGGCAAATATGTAACTGTCGTGTGGGTAGGTGGGTGGATAGTGAAGGGGGGTATGGGGGAGATGCAAGTAAAAGGTGAATGTCGAATGTAAGGAAACTTTACCTAGATAAATGTCGCCGAATGAGCCGCTCCCGATTTTCCGTCCGAGCCGGTACTTATTTCCAACGCGTAGCTCCATCCTCCAGCCTCACGGGGCTCACGAAGAAAAGTAGCACGGGGGCAAAAGGCGACTTTAGGCAGCCGACTCGAGGAGCGCTCGTGGCTCCCGTTGGTGCGTTTTAAACGAGACTTGGCTGCCGTGTTACAAACTGGACAGGGCCTCCATCTTTGGTCGCGTCACCGATCGCGAACCTACAGGCATTTCTTCTTTCTCTCCTCGAAGGAATACTGTTTCTTCTCGCTGCGATGGCGGTCGCGCTGATGGCGCTGCTGTCGTCGTTGTCGTTGTCGCCGTGTTGTTGACGGCGCTGCGATTGCTACTGTTGCTGTTAGACAGAGATCGCACAGGCTACCGAGGTGACTATGAAAATGCTCGCCTCCCACGGGGGGCGGTTGGCTGCTCTTCGTTTTTAGATTTCGCGAATTCGGTGAGCTCGTAAAACTGCCGCGACAAACACTACCGGATCTCGCTAAGTATGTCGATCCGGATAGATCAGCGCGTACCCACCAATGGGAGCATGAACCGCGTAAGGGCATCTGCCCTTTCGCTGCGCGGATCTGCACCGGAGACCGAATGGCGCACAATTATGGCCGTCTAAGATTCACCAATCGCGATCCACTTTTCTCCGCCACCTTTATCGCGAACGCACCTTTTTTTACGGACTTTCAAAGATCAAAGAATCGACGACCGTCCATTCGTACAAATTTATCATGGCACTCTATCACTTTCGCTCACTTTCTATGACGCGTTACTCAATAAGTCCTATTCTACTGTTGCACACTCGCTATCTACCAACCGTGACCACCACAACGACGAACGCGATGAAGACATACGGACGCAAGCGCGAGCGCCTTTCGACACGCCTGAAAAACTTCTGCGTCATCTGGTGAACACCAGTTAAATCATGGTCGATAGTATTTCCGGTTCGCTTATTGCGATTAATCGATAGTCTTGCGAACTTTTAATTTCGTCGAAAAAATTCTTCATAAAAGGAGAATCAGCTATACATATATACGTATATCCACTTATAATTCTAAAAGTAGATTTTCCATGAGACGTATGTGTTACGCAATGATCGCAGTAAAATGCGTCGTCGATACATTTCGTATTAAATATTTGCTATTGTAACGTCTCCTGACCGTTTGGACGACACTTGCAGCCTGAACGTTTAAAGCGATGGTCACCAGGTGTCTCGCATTGACGTGTGATTTTCGCAAATTTTCGTCGCAGTTCTAGGGATATAAAATCCCATTCCGGGCATGATATCAGCCGGAGGCGTTTGGGGCAGGTTTGGACTGCATCGATCGTACTGATGAGTATAACAGACGGACTCCAAGACGCAGAAACGTTTCTGTTTTTCTGTTAACTTCTCGGTATGCTCTTCCTCTCTTGGAGATGTGTGTGAAAGTACGAATCGGTAGAGGAAGATGGGGCAAGATCCCCAATATGCACGCTCCTGTAGGAGGAAAACCTAGGACGTGACACTATTTTTTATTCGATGATGCATCACGTTTTTAAAAAATAACGTAAACTTACAAAATTTTAATGAATGAATATAATTATTTCAACAAAATATTAACAATCATTCGCATACATATTGAAAATAGACATAGCATATGAAAGTTTCATCGTATATATATTTTATAAAGGAACAAGTAGGAAATATTTTGGGAACAAAGTTTTAACAATTTAACGTGTACAGTGTGTAATATTTTATCAAGGTAAAAAACCAATAATTTTACAATAGCAGAAGCACGTTTGTTTTCATACATTTTGTATCTTACTTAGCGCGTTTGACTTCACCTTGTTAATGTAGTTTACAATTGTAATAAAATTAACGGTACAGGGTGCTCCAGCAACACAGCACACGTATCAATTTCCCTGGGATATTATGTTGGGCCTTCGAGAATTAAATTTAAATGAATCGAATAAAACGATACAAGTTTGTCCGAATTATTGTCGATTATGGAAAGGTCAAGATTTATTCAGGATTTTGTTCTGAATGGAAATTGTGCAAAGTCGACTTTTGGAACACCTTGTATAACATTTATTCGCGGTAACCGCGTATAAGAAACATACATTTCGCGAAGCGGTCGATTAAAAGAAGTAAAAAGTCGTAGGAAATTATGAAATTAGAGAAAGATTAAAATCTATCTACAAAGGCCTCACATTAATCGCATCAACGAACAGTAAATTGACACACTTCTTCAACACGTGCGCAGTCTTCAGAGACAGACGATAAAGGATGATAGATAAAAGTATTGTTCGGATTCGCGTGAATAGTGTCGATTAAATGCAAAAAGAAGAAACGAATACGTTTCTTTCATGCGTCAGTCTGTCGTTTTCGATAAAAATATTTTATATTTTTAGTCCTTTTCGTTTTTGTAAAAAATCTTTCATCACGGTATTACAAAAGATGAGTCTGAATACGAAATAGCTCCTGTGGAGATGGAGTTCTCGTTCGTTTCGAACATTTACTGAGATCCAAAATCGTGATATCTTAAATACGTTCCGTACTCTCGCACAAACAAACAAACAAAACCAAGCTACGTAGTACATCACTACATAATGATAATAATAGTACATTCGTGGAATTTTACGACTTATCCGCGTAAGAAGTAATATGTAGCAATTGTCCTCCACCAAAATTAATCAACAAGTAGCTTCTTTATCTAGAAAAAGGATCGGACATACGTGCAATGCTAAAACACAATTACATTTTTCCTTTTGTTCTCTCTCGTATCGTATCAGATGTGACTTGAAATTCAACGACTTTCGATGCTGCTCGATAGAAATAGTTTCATTGTACCATGGTCGTTTCTATAGCGAAAGAAAAAAGGAAACTTAACGATTAACAAACGTCAATAAAAAATATACTCTTAACGGCTCTCCTCCTCTACGTCATGGCCATTGATAGTCGCGTTTTAAGTTTCCCTCGCTTAATCTCTGTAACTTTTCTTATAACGTAATTCTACTTAAGTAGCTATTTTCTGTATTTTATTAGGCGCATCGATTTAACGTTATCCTTTTTTTTTCTTTCTTCTTTATCCTCTGTCACGATACGCCCATACAATATATTCGAAATACTATATAAATGATTTAAGTCGCCTCTTTATTATTTTTATTATTTAGAAATACGACGTAGCACAACATATTCGTTGCGTTACAATATGGCTGCCATGTTCACGATCTGTGATGTATAACTTGCTTCTTTGTACAAGCTAGAATTTTTATATTATTTCTTTTTCTTTTAGCTTCACACACTATAAAAACGGATCATTTAGAAATTTCTATTGTTCGATCTTTAAATGCTGTCCTAATAAGAAACTTTGTTAAAATTGTATTTAATTAAAAAACGATGCTTGAACGAGTCAATTTACGGATAAAACAATACGAAACGTTACGATATCTTCTGTGTTTCTTAAGATCTGTTACACTTATCTGTAAATAAAATGCATTTTTATTAAAAAAAATTACCTAGGCCTAGTTGCACTAAACCGTTGAAAAATTTGCTCGATACAAATAGTTGATTTGTTTAAAGTGAAATGCAGTGAGAATGTTTCAGTTTAAAACGTAAAATATATCGACAATCTTGGCAGTTGATAATATATCCCGAATAGGTTCGTCGCTACAATACTCGAAGTTCATTCGCTTATCGTTTATGGCTAACGCTAATGCCGCGTACAAATCTAGATTTTTTAAAAAATCTACGATATATAAATTCTACCTATCGCCGCTGTGTACACGTGAGTCCATTAAGTAAAAACATCTAATCATTTTGTTCGCTCTGTGTTCTGAGCGTAAAATCATTGAGTAGGGCACGGGGCAATTTGGAATATTCCTAAGAACCGACTTCTTCAGGCCTGGCCAATGGAGCTTTCGATTTTTCGGTAGTCACTGTAGTTGTTGTCACCTCCAGATTCGCCAGTTCAGCTGCACTAATCTGTAATATCGAGAATAACACGTTACACACCTGTATTTTATTCTTCCCCCCTTGGATATTCTGCAAAAACTACCAAAGATCCAGTTAGACAAAGCCATACGTCTACGCAAAAAGTTGATTAGTATATCAGATAGAATAAACAGCATGTACCGTGAAATTAGATTAATAGCGTACAATATGCTAAGCGTTAATTATAGGCTTAATATCGAGGTAAGGTCCGACACCAATTATCGCAATACACTCAGTGCCGTTTGCTGACCTCGACGTTTGGGGGTAGAGTGATGGTAGCATGTGTCGTTGTAGTCTCAGTACCGCTGCGAATCTCTCTCTCTACCGTAGTGCCTGCGCAATAACAAATAGCACAAACGAAACAATAACAAAAGAATACAAATAATATGAAAAGGGGAATAAAAAAAAAAGAACGAAAAATTACAAAGCGACGTAAAACGAACACAAGAATATTAAAGCTGATCGATGAATTATAATATAATGAAATTATCAAGGGCATATGATTATTTACAGTCTTCAAATACTATAAGTTTGGGAGACCTAAAAAAATATTCCTTTTAAAAAACACATTTAAAAAAGAATTCGCATATCGTTAAAAATCAAATCAATATAACGGTATATGCTTGGTCAGTTGATCAATTTATAGTTCACACTAATTCGGATTAGCAATGATTTCACTCACTGTTCATCTGTTGTGTTTCATTTGTCTGACTTGTTTCAACTTCTCCATTAGCGGTAGTATTGTTAGTTGTTTGCGAAACAACGGTCGTGGTCTTAACAACTAGGGACTGATTTTGAGTTGAGATTTCCGAAGTTCGCGAGGTCACCTCCATTTTAAGTCCTGCAAGACGACTATGAAGTTCTTCGGAAGACGTTGCATTTCTGAAAAGCGAACTGTTACTGCCAAACAAATGGCAAGTACACAAAACATACCCATTAGCACAGCAAAAGAAAAGTACAGCAACGTTAGCTGATCACATTACGTTGTTATTTTGTCTTGAAATTTTTCCAGTTTTTTTTTTTTTTTGTTTCAATCATTTTCACTCTCACAAAATATAAAATGATACACGAATAAGCAAAAGAAGCAGGTCAAATAAAACGATAAGAAGCTAGGCATGACATACAACACCTTCACTTACAGTAAATGGTCCTTCACGCTATCAATCGTTATATCTCCAATAGAACTTAAGTCCTGACGATCATCATCTCCATTTACATCATTGGTGCTTGCAGCTGGTTGCAATGATGATTCTTTCGGCGATTCGTCACCACCCGCTAGAATACACGTATTCAAGAATCGGTACTAAAGGGTTAGGAGACAGCTTTTTCTCGATGATGTTAATTGGCATAAAGTACAATTTAGCGGCTAGCTCGTTTAATAAATCACAAGTAATTATATATAGCGAAGCAACATTTAAATATATACACGGGTTACAAGATATGCCAAGCGGTTACGCGTATTTAGTAGGTAGCACGTTTAAACATCCTATGATGAATTTTTTAACTTAACGATTATCCGATGTATGGTTAAAGTACAAATTTATAGAAGGAAACATCGTGGAGAATACCCGATATACTCACTGGAACCCACTACACCATTCTCTGTAATCATCCTTTGTACCGTAAGTGGCTGACTTCCTTGTGTTGTTTCACCTTCCGTTTCAGCTGTACCTTCGACCACACCTTGCTCTTGAGTTTCGTCGTTGTTTGTCTCCGGATACGACCTGGCATTCGGTGGTAAATTTAACGCACAGTTTGCTTTCGTCACTTTACTAGCTGATAACGAAATTCGCTGTAATTCTGAGCTTGAATGAAGATACAAAGCTTCACCGGCTTTCGTGAACGTCAACGAAGAAATTCCAC